GACCCCAGGAAAGGGCAATCGAGGCTTCGTATCTAATCTAGGGTCTAAGTTTTGTAAATATCTTAGCACCAATGTGGTTGGATTTCACATAGTACCCAGCCGTGAAAAACAATAGGCAGGATATAAAAAACTACACATTACTCGCAATATTGGCAACAAAAGCTACACATTACTCGCAATATTGACAGCCTTGTTAGAGGTTGAAGGTGCTATTGGATATGAGGATGCGGTGTACTATGCATTTACGAGGCAGAATTCTCGAGGGTGAGAAAGAGTCTAGTGTTCGCACTCCAAATCGGATATAAATATTTGCTAGAAATTTCCACAAAAAAAACCTTGAGAAGCAAAGCATCAAGCGCTTCAAAAACGCTTGAAACCAGAATAATTCGCGAAGCCATGGAATCAAGGTGCCAATTTACGTAAATGCAGAGTCTATAAGATAGTTCAAATTAACTTACATGACCAGATAAACCCGTTTCCTTGGCAAACTTGTTCTGAAGCAACTCTTGAATCGGCATGGCCAAAGCTGATTTAGCTAACGGTAACGCCCTTGCTCGCACCTGGAAGTTTTTCAAAATTTTAGAAAGTGTTCTTCGTTGTAAAACGGTGGCATTAAAGTTCCTTATTTCTAGTATTGCTAGTGCACGTATTGTAGGAACACAGATACAGCGCCCTAGAAAACATACAAATTTACCTCAAGATATTCATGAAAGACACTAATAAGGCCACAACAAGCATCAACATAGCTTTTCTCAAAAACTCACCTCAGGCAGCATTCCTCTTTCTTCGGCAGTTAGTTTCGCTTCAAATTCCTTTTTTTCGGACTCCCACTCCCATACTGACAACTCTTTTGGTTGTGGAAACACTAAGCCTGAACAGAATTACAGTTGCAACTCGTATGTGGAGTACCTTACGTTCGCCATAATAACATGTTCCAAGCGTCTTGGACTATTTACAAAAATAACTCTAAGTTTGAAGAGAGGTAATGTATACATATAACCACACATTATCTTTTTTATTTTTTTATATGACCCGTCTTCACGTCTACTGTGCGGATCCCAGCACTCCCCAAATTTGATTTGTTTCCTCGCATCCACTGTCCACGACGATCTTCCAACCTTACGTGTAGCTTCGGTTGCTGCTTGAGGACTTCATTTCATCGTGAATGTCGTAGAATGCTGGTCGAGTAATTCTTCCTGAAGTCCTGAGACAGCCGGGCTGGGACGTTCCCATTTGGATTGCAGAGAGTGATTATTTCCCAGATAAATCCGGTTTCAATATATTATATAATATATATGGTTATACGCTTGACACTTGATACTTGAACGGCGCGTCCTCACAAGTTGTGCATGCCCCAGCATAGTCACCATTTTCGGGGATTTGATGGCTAAACCACTGTGGTTCCCTGGAATCCCGAGGACAACCTGGCCAAAGTCTGCCCCAGGTTGTCACCACGACAGGCAGTCGCAGCTCTTGTGGATCAGAGGGGGATTTGCCATTATGTGACTACTTTGATACCAGAACGCTGGTGGATCCTGGTACTGGTTCACTCTTAGCTAGGCTTCCTGATGGAAGCGTTGGACTCCTTCTCAATTTGGGAGGCCCTGCCGGAGGGACGAATCCCCCGTTGTACATCGCAGTCCGACACCCAAGAAAACCTTCCAGCCAGGATGAGGCGGTAAACAGTTGGAAGGATAGAGTATATAATATGTATAATATATAGTTATATAAGCATTACTACTACATATATTATATATAATCATATACCTCCCAACGGTTTACCTCCTCATCATAGCTGAGAGGTGTTCCTGGGTGTCGGACCGCGATGTGCAGCGGAGAGATTCATATCCCAGCAAGGCTTCCAAAGCTGAAGACTCCGGCGCTTCTATTACGAAACCCAGCTAAGAGTAAACCAATGTCGGGATCCACCACCGTCCTGGTATCAAACTAGGCGAATGGTGTAAATCTCCCTCTGATTCACATAGACGTCGACTGCCTGTGGTGGCAACGACCTGGGGCAGATTTTAGCCCGGCTGACCTCGGGACTCCAGGAAACCACAATGGATGAACCAGCAAGATTCAAAAAAACAAATAGAAATTATGCTAAGGTCTGCATGATCAGTAAAGATGGGCCATCCCAGTATCCAGATATGTAAAATATTACGCGCATATATTAAAAGGATAAAGCTCTCGGCGTTGATGGATCCCTGAGGGATGCGCCATGCATTCAACTTCATTGAGTATCTTTGGAGGTGATTGAATGCATATCTGGTCTTTACAATGACTCGCGGTGGCTTACCGATGTATCGAACCAGAGCTGCTATCCTCCCAGACAAGTCTGGTACCAATCTGCCGACCCTGGAGCGATGGAAGGCTTGGTGAGCCATGAGAGCGGGGATCGATTCCACGTGTTGATATATTTATTTATGCGATCTTATAAACTGATCTTCTTAAACTGACGCGAGGTTGGTACAGATCTTCGTTGTCGTTGTCGTTGTTTTTGATGTTATTGATCCATGGCTGACGTTTCGGCGACTTCGCCTTCCTCAGAGCTGTGATGTTACGTGCGGGACATCTGTACCAACCTCGCGTCAGCTTAAGAAGATCAGTTTATAAGATCACATAAATAAATATATCAACTATCTATGCCGAGGTTTATAGAAAGTCGGTCTTTCGAGTTATTAATATTCCACGTGTGTTGCAGTGGCGCCTCCAACCACTGCGCCACACGCGCCCTCGCGCATGTATTACGTAGATGTATTATAAAAATAGGAACCAAGAAGTGGTTTTCATCAGTATTCCTACACTTCAACATAACTGAAGATAGTCAAGGAAGCTTCAGCCGCTACCGAACAATTCTACTCAAGTTCATAAATTCCATGTAGCCTAACATGTTGGTAATGTTGAACATTCTATTGGTTCGACATCTGCATTCCAGCATCGCAATAGCGTGATCAATCAGTCAACATTCCACAACAATTAGTCGATGGAAACAACTAAGCTGATTTTACCTCTTCGTAAATACTTCAGAAACTCCTTGAACCGCGTCTGTTTTAGAGGTTCATCAGGGAATTCAACCCGATCCTGAAATCGAACATTGAAATAACCTTAAAAAACCGAATGATCCATGCGTAAAATGGACTGCATTCCAGAAGATTTCCACTGTACAAATGAAACGATGTGGTTAACAACAGACATTGCTTACATTGTTTAATTTGGTTGTTTCCCGGAACCGGAGCGACATATAAACTTTAGATGGCAAAACAGTAAAAGAATGTGAACGCTTTTTATTTACTGCCTATTATTATATTTTATGGCAAGGCATGATGTTAAACATAACCGCTATGATGCTAAGATATTTGCAAAACTTGGACCCCAGACCACAGCTATCCACGATTACACCTTTTAGGGGCTTACGTGTTGCACAAGGCACCACTGATGCCCTTGCTTTGCTTTTCCTTCTCTTAGACTTTTTAACCTAACGGTGGTATCAGCGAATAGAAGGCATTAGATGAAAAGTTACAATTTATGATTTCTACTACAGACTCAGCTTAACTAGGTTCAATTTCAATTTGTGGTACCCAGATTATTCCCATTAAACAGGTGACTGCTGATGCCACCGTTACCTCGAAAACTGGCTGAGAAAAAGGCAGAGCTACGGCCTCAGTGTGTCGTGCATAACAAGTGAGCACCAGAAAGAGTAATCGCCGCTCGATGTGGCCTCGGGCCCAATTTGGAAAATACCTCGGCATCATAGCGCTTGCATGTGAAGTTTACTTTACTTTACAAAGCAGATCTACTAGCACATACAAATATTTCTTAACATCAACACCACGAGCGACATTGGATGAAAAGAAAGAACAAGCTGCGATCATTACTTAATGTCATAAGCTTGCATATGTATATATATATATATATATATATATGTTTGTCAAAACGATGGCGCCGATAGTACAGTGGTGGTGGTGCCGATCATCACGAGTACGGTGCTGGTTCGAGTCCGGTTGGCCGTCACTACGTCTCTTATCCCTATAGAGCTCAGGAAATTGGTACCGAACAAATCCGAGAAAAAATCATTGTGCAAACCAAGTGTAAACGCTCTAGTCCCACTATCCCAGAACTCCATCGAGAATCGACTGAGCATTCTACGACATTCATGATGACAGGAAAGTTTTCACGCAGCAGCTGAAGCCACATGCAAAAAGTTGGGAGGCCTTCGTGTATGACAGATGCAAGGAAACAAGTCAAGTATAGGAAGTGCAGGGTCCACACAGTAGATGTGAAAGAAAGGTCGTACAAAAATATGTAAAAGTGATAAAGATTTTTTCGGCGAAATTTATTGGATTACTATTTCACCCATACCTTGTTTCTCCGTTCCTCTCCAGCATCTCTTTCCCGTTGATCCCATCGACTACGATGTTGCTCTAGACGTTTTCGATCCTTGTCGCTCACTATTTCCATGACCGATACGCGATTTTCGCCCAATAGCCTTAATTGGTAGACCAGATGATTTTCTTCATCGAAATAAAATTTTTCCCTATGGACCTACCATTTCTTCACTAGCTTTCTACGTATGATTTCAAAACTAAGTGAGGACATTGCCATAATTCTGAGATACTTGCAAAACTCCGGACCGTAGGTGACTGCGGTAGGATAGAACTAGCTGATAGACAGGCGAAACGAAGGACCCGCGTGAAGTGGTGGTGAACGCGTTAGCCCCGGAAAGAGTGATACCGCGTTCGCTGCCCACCACAAACACCTGCGGTCCGGAGTTTTGCAAATATCTCAGAATTACAGAAGTTATATTTCGCAATATACCCTGCCATTAAAAAGAATAGGCAGTAAATAAAAAGGTTAAGATAAGTGAGAACAGTTGTTCTGTTCATTGTCCTCTTGTCTTCTAAATGCTTGTTTTATGCATCTACGAGTATTAATGTACTTAAAAGTCAGACAGAGCTAAATTTTTTCAACAAGCTATTAGCCATTCACTATAAAAAAATTTACTTCGCTCTCTGTATGGCTGTCAATGTTTTCATAGCATCCTGCAGTGCAGATGGCAGTTTGGCCGAGTCCAATGGCTTAGGACGGTGCGCAGGTCGGAAATTAGGTGGCAGTTTCGGTGGAGCGTAAAACTTACGTGGATTCAAACGCTAAAAGAATCGGTGGAAACCTTGTCAATGATTTCCTAATAGCAAATGGAAATATTTTTCAAAAAGAATATAAACTTACTTTATTTGACATAACAAAGGTACAATCGACACTAGGTCTTCCTTCTCCTGAAGTTCCTGGAGCATCCAATGCAAAATCAAACTGATTCAGGTCATAGTTGGAATAAATATTTTCGTCTTCATCTTCAAATGCTCCAACACCAAAGGCCTGAAAACCTGCCTCAGTCTTAAACCATTCTGTGAGGAGAATCGGTTTATAAGTGATAACACTGATTAGTCTTCAGCTGCTATAAGATTGATAGAAACGAAAACAGACCGAAGTTAAATTGACAATGTGGTCTAAAGTGAGAGAAAATATAAAACGGAAACTAATTTGGAACTACCATAAAGATTACGGCAAGCATGCAAACGAAGCCTAAGCATTTTCAATACCAAGAAAAGATCCTCATTCGTTGAGCTATTACAACCAAAGCAATCATCCTTGTTCAAAATCAACATTCATCGTAAAAGAAGCGAAGCTAGACCACAGTTTTACCGTGTTCTTGAAGGGTACCGAAAAGAGAATTTCACCAAACATTTTTCTAATTCTAATTCGGTTCTGGTCTCACCTGTCCTCTAATACCTCGACTTTTAGCGTTAGTCTTGAATGCGGATGCCCTGAGTCCGTACCCTTCATCGAGCACCGATGATACAGTCATTGCTTCATAACCAAGACCATGAACACCTTCGACGGACCGTAGCCGAGTCACCAGTACGTCATCGGTAGCGGTGTCATATCCATTAGGTGCGGTTGCTTGTATTTGCTCAGCATCCACATCATCAACTTAAATACTGTCATGATATTATTGTTGAAGTTAGTGATACTCTAGTGTTTCGTCTGATTAAGAACACATTGTATTGCACCCTTTGCCATTGACACGTAGCATGCAAAGAACCATAATGAATTTTGATCCTGTTCTACCGTATAGCCTTTAAGCAACGAGTAACTCCGTCAAACACCAGTAAGCCCACACATCCCCGTTAAGCAGCACAGCTACATAGTCTTCTGCATTTTCTGATTAAAGCGATCAAAGGCATCAAAATTTTTGTACAATGCCCCTTCCTTCTGTTCTAGTCGAGAAACAAGCTACGGATAACTCACAAAGCTCTGCGGTTACACAACTCAACTCTTAATTAGAATTGGAGATCGAATTTTCGAATTCTTCGCAACTTAAAAATCTTGCTTTAGGGTCAATCTCAGCTCTAAATCGTAGCTCGACACCCAGGAACATCGCTGGTCACATCACAATGCGGCGGTAAACACTATTGGAGAAAAAATTAAAAGATATCACAAAATATTTACATTAATATGATAACAAGTGGTAGACTGGTTCAATGCAGAAAAATTTGAGAGAGAGGAAAACTCAACCTAAGATTAGCATCTTAATCATGGTTTGAACAACTGAGATTCACTTCATCATGCCACCCAAGCTCAAAAGTCTCACTCGGAAACTACACCAATAGTAAATCTAGTAAGGTTGTAAATGTTTTGCTGATCCACACAGAACGACAATAACGAGAAAATTAAGACTTTTCAAAGCTTCCAGATATGATCCGCTCATAATTTAAGGAATCCCAAGATAGCCACTTTCGAAACTAGGTGGCGTGCTCTAGTAGGTTGCGATTAAGGGATTCAACGCACCAAAAGCCACCATTTACTAAAAATATGGTGCCTTTCATACCTCTTAAACTGTAAATCCAAGCTGTTTTTCTTTGGAAGAGTAAGAAAAGAAACTCACTTTTCCCTTTCGATTTAGCTGTCAGCAACCCTACTCCACGTCCTTCACGCCAACCCATTGCTCGAAGCATGCGCTTTCCTATTGAATCCCTATAATAGACAGTTTTAAACAAAAACAAAACACTCATATGGATTCTTGCCTGCCAAACCAACTCGTTGTAATTAACGCCCATAATTCTACACATCAATATCAAAATCACGACAAAGTATCCTTCAACTTAATGAGTACGAAACACGACGAACCAAAAACCATTAACGTTGATTGTGCTTCAGCTTGAATAACATTTAATTATAATAGTTGGTCTTTAGATCAAAACAGCAGGGACATAAATCAGAATAGCAAGGATACCTAACCCTTACCTCACTGGTTTGATAATACTTTCCAAATGTTGTACCATAGCAGAAGCGCTTGTCACATCATGCTCCCAAGCCATTCGCTTTTCAGCTTTTCGCTCCATAGTGAAATCCTCGGCCGTACGAATTCGACGTGCACCAATCCCAAACTCTCCTAGATCCTACAATAAGGCACTAAATACTACCAATATGCTTCCCCATTAAGGCGATAAAAGAAACTATGTATTCTTTCTTTGATGAGCTTACACGAGGTTGATAATTATGTTTATTTTCGGCTAACGTTTCGACGTCCTCGTCTTCCTCAGAGTCGATGGTCCTCGCTTGTTATTCGTCTCGACGTGGCAGTTTCGCCTTCGTGTCGAGTCAGGTTTTCTTCAGTGAGCCATCTCCTCGAATGGGGCATCCTTACTCAGTGATGTCCTTTTATATACGATGCTGATGGTGGATATAATGATAATGTCCGAAGATAACAACTTGTTTTTCTTCCGGACATAATCATAATTACATAATTACTATTAACAATTACTATTATTGCTATAATTCCCACGACCGACTTTCTATTAACCTCGGCATTGATCAAGTAATTCTTCGTATTTTTGTTGAGCAAACGCGAGGTGTTATTATTCCTCATTCACGAATAAGCTGACGTTTCGGCGGATTTCGCCTTCCTCAGAGCCTGGAAAGGTCAAGTTGATAGCAATATACACGACCAGACGCCTCCATAACCAAACAAAGGAACTCTAAACTCTGACTATGCGTTTAACAATTCGAAACATTTGTCCATTTCCTCTTGTGTTGAGCAACGGACAAAGCAGTCGTCAACGCAGCTAATGATAGGTCTAACCTTGAATAGTGATGGATCGGTAGACGCAAGATAACGCACAGTCAGAGTATATCAAGTTCACCCGAGAAAAGCCGAAAGAAAAATGGCTTCCATTTTTGAACGTACAAATTCACCTATCAGAAAATGGCTACATTACAAAGTGGTACCGAAAGCCAAGTAGTAAAAACATCTTGGTTCATTACCTCTCCTCTAACCCCTCTCACACGAAAAGGGCGCTTATAAGAAACATGTTTCGAACAGTAACCAACGTGTGCACGGGAAGAGAGCAGAGAGAGGAGTCCCGGAACTTGGCACGGCAAATAGCCGTTTCTAATGGCTACGAAACTGTAGCTCAGAATAGGTGTAGAGGAAATCGTAGGCTTCCAAACAACATCTCTTGCGATAGAAGGGTCCCGTTTATCCTACCCTTCATCTCAAATGATATAAATACAGCAATAAAACGCTGCTTAAGAAGGGCGGGCTTAGAGAATTCGGTAAGCGTAGTTGAAATACCACCGAGTAATCTTAAGCGCCAGCTAGTTCGTAACCGCCTATATGACCGTCTATGTGCAACTCAAAATTGCATAATTTGCCCCAGTGGTAGAGACGGTGATTGCATGAGCTCGGGTATAGTTTATCTGATCTCCTGTAAAACGTGCGGTGACGAATACATTGGCGAAACGGGTAGACCCCTCTGTGTCCGCATGAAAGAACACCTAGCCGGCAAAAATAGACCAAATACCCCGCTAGGCACGCATAGGACCCAGAGACATAACGGGGACGACTTCGAAGTATGTGTCACGATCCTCGCACGCGAATCAAGAACACGGGCGCGAGAAACTCTCGAGGCNGATATAAATACAGCAATAAAACGCTGCTTAAGAAGGGCGGGCTTAGAGAATTCGGTAAGCGTAGTTGAAATACCACCGAGTAATCTTAAGCGCCAGCTAGTTCGTAACCGCCTATATGACCGTCTATGTGCAACTCAAAATTGCATAATTTGCCCCAGTGGTAGAGACGGTGATTGCATGAGCTCGGGTATAGTTTATCTGATCTCCTGTAAAACGTGCGGTGACGAATACATTGGCGAAACGGGTAGACCCCTCTGTGTCCGCATGAAAGAACACCTAGCCGGCAAAAATAGACCAAATACCCCGCTAGGCACGCATAGGACCCAGAGACATAACGGGGACGACTTCGAAGTATGTGTCACGATCCTCGCACGCGAATCAAGAACACGGGCGCGAGAAACTCTCGAGGCACTCTGGATTAGTTCCAGAAATCCGAAAATGAACCGCAGGTAAGAATGCCTCATTATCACGCGTGATATAGGGGCAGTATATAAAATTGCTTTTCTGATGTGAGGGGCACATTACGCTTCCATGTGATTTCTGTGCGGTTGGTCTCTACGCGACATACTTAGTGGAAACCTTATAGGAAGCAGTGAGTTTGCAAAGCTGTGTTCAAAGTGATTGAAATCTTGGTTTGGGGTTTCTTTATTTGGTTATGGAGGCGTCTGGCCGAGTAGATTGCTATCAACTTGACCTTTCCAGGCTCTGAGGAAGGCGAAATCCGCCGAAACGTCAGCTTAATCGTGAACAAAGAATAGTAACACCTCGCGTTTGCTCAACAAAAATACGAAAAAAATTACTTGATCAATGCCGAGGTTAACAGAAAGTCGGTCGTGGCAGTTACTAATAATATAAATACTAATATTATATTAATATTAATATAATATACCATCAATATTAATAATATTAATATTATCGATAATTATATCGTAATATTATTATCGTATTAATGTTATCGACGTAGTAATATTTAATATTAATATCGACCATCAGCATCGTGTATAAAAGGGCATCACTGAGTAAGGATGCCTCATTCGAGGAGATGGCTCACTGAAGAAGACCTAACTCGACACGAAGGCGAAGCTGCCACATCGAGACGAATAACAAGCGAGGACCATCGACTCGGATCACCGGCTCTGAGGAAGACGAAGACCTCGAAACGTTAGCCGAAAATAAACATTATTATCAACCTCGTGTAAGCACATGAAAGAAAAAATACATAAAAGAAACATAGTTGTGAGGATAAAGGATAAAGGACAAGGCTCTCTGCGTTGATCAACCCCTGACGGATGCGCCATGCATTCGACTTCATTAAGTGTCGCTGGAGGTGATTGAATGCATATCTGCCCTTACAATGACTCGCGGTGGCCTACCGATGTATCGAGCCAGTGCTGCTATCCTCGTAGACAAGTCTAGTACCAATTTGCTGGCCCCGGAGTGATGGAAGGCTTGGTGAGCCACGGACGCAGAGATCGATTCCACGTGTGTGCTGCAGGCCGCCTCCAACCGCTGAGCCACACGCGCCCCCATAGTTTTGAGGTAACTCAGAAAAGCAACAATGATAAAACTCAGAAGTCATCACACTCATCTAATCGATACGAGCTAAAAGCCTATTTCGGCCCTCATAGGTTTGCTGCGATTATTCATTTCAACGATGATGAACTCTATCCAGAAAACAATAAACAGTGTTACTTTTCGCTAAATGCTGAGAGTCCATATTAGCAAAGTGTTCTCTCTACCAAATAAAAAATATTTCCCTATGAGAAATTTTTCTACTTCAACACATCAATTGAGATCGAATATGTGAAAGCTGTCATAACCTCATCATCCATAAGATCTTCAGCTCTTTGCTGAAATTTGGCGGCTCGTTGGTCCCGTGATGAACGAAATTCTTGAGGTGTCCACCCTTGAAATTCACAATTTACAAATAAAACGAAGCAACACAAATGAAACAATCTGCAAGAATAATTTGTGAACTTCGCTAACCATCTTTGCTGCCAACAGTGTTGTAGTATCCAGCTGAGAAACCGCCAGTAAACGCACCATGGAACCTGCAGGGTTAAATTATACGGTGACAGAGCAAACAGGATTACATTATAAAACACATGGAGTTCAGAAGAAAACAGTCTCATTAAAATATCCTGTAATACCGGTGATTGCAAATTTGTCGAATAATCAAAAAAAATTGAAACATTCTCTAATTCTGTTAATACGCGCGTTTAGTTTGCACACAGACTTGTGAAAGATAGATTTCTTCGCGAATTCCAAGAACGCGATAGCAGAACCATGATAAACTCACATATCCACACTGCAATGCAACAATTATGCCATTGCAGTAGCACGTTGCTAATGAAAAAAAAAGCATTTAGTGTAAGAAAAGATATCCTGCTAGGGTTTGACAACACCAAAAACGTTTACTTAACCACTATCACCTTTCCGCACCATCTTTCTCTAGGTAAAGTATTACTTTCAAAACTCTAAGGACAATGGTAGCGGGTGGATAGCACATATTAGTGATGCCGACCGCCACGAGCATGTGCTGGCTCAACCCCACCCTGGGCTCACCAAGCCCCTCATCCGTCAAGGGCGCCAAAAGTCTATCCCAGTATCAAAAGGCTGTTCGTGGTACGGTAAAAAAAAAGTGGTGGCAAAGAATCCAACTCATTGATTCAACACTTAAACAATCGAGCACTCCAAATTTTAATACTCAACATACATATTCATCGCGCAAGACACCACAACTCACTCTCTGCAATCCAAATAGGAACGCTTTTGCCCGGATATCTCAGGACACCAGTGAGAATTGACTCGAGCAGGCATTCGACGACACTCACTATGAAATGAAAATCCTCAAGCAGCGGCCGAAGCTACACGTAAAAGTTGGAAGACCTTAGTGGATGATGGATGAGAGGAAACGAATCGAATCTAAGTGCTGAGATCCTCACAGTAGACATAAAGACGGGTCGTAGAATAAGGAAATAAAACGACAATGGTAAAACTACGAATATTCTAGGTATTAGACTCTTGGAGGCAGTCCATCAACACGCCTTCTGAACAACAGGTGGGTCGTGAATGACGGAATTGCTGTCTTGAGCATATGAATACGCCTGCTAGAAATTATTGTAGTGATTCGATTCACGCCACGAACGATTTGTCTTGAGCCGATTCATGACGAACAGCTAAGTTGAGAAAAAGCTGTTCCAGCATAACAGTTCAGACCGCACAATAACTTCATTTTTAGGGAAACGAACATAGTGAGTTGCCTACTTTCATGATAAAAACTCATGCATGGAATAGAAGGATATGGTAGAACGCGTCTAAAAGGTACAAAACACAGGTCCAGAACAAGGACACAAATATTACGCATCTCCTCATTTCTTGTTTTATAGCAAACTGAACAGTTGCTACTAAAACATGGAAACCGGTCAGCGAGGATGACGTCGTGGGTAACGGTCTACCATTATTAACGTTGCAGAAACAAATGAATATAGGTATTTGTACATTTCAGAGTATAATGCAAGACTTAGTAATAACACCACCTAGCAATACCTAGGAGCGGTAACCACAAGTGTAAATTATCAAACGCCTCTATTGACAACCTTCAATTCAGTACAATCTGCAAAGCAAACTAACCTTCGTCTTCCCTGCTCATCAGTGACAATCTGATCCTGTATACCAGCAGGCTTCCTTGAAATTGCACTTTCTTAAACATAAAGGTTATTCAGTCGTTCAGGGCTTCCCGCCAACAATTAACTATCAATATTTTATGAATTCAGAACTCGATAAACTCGAGGGACTGTCATGAACAAATGCAGAAATTCTCATCCGATCTTCCTAACGACACTAGTAATAGTTCGAATTTAAATTAAAAACAACTAAAACACCAGGAAATAACTTTGTCAACAACTACTAATCTTATGAATCTCGTAAAAGTCATTACGAAAATCTCACTCTCTTCATCTTCTAATTCTTCAAACTCTGTTCCATAAACTGCTAACAACTCCTCGCTAGACATTCTGAACACCATCGGCCTCCTATTTCAAGTATTATGAGTATATTTCAGGAAGATACAGCTGGATATGCCCATTTACGGAAGGAATAGAAAGTAAGCACGATTTATTGAACACTGATCTATGATAAGTAACACTTTTATCTACAAATCTTAAACCAGCAAGCACAGACACCAGTGACAACCAGCACATTACCGCATTGGAGCATTGTCTACATGCAAAACCTTATATATTATCACTTATTCACTTTGTTGAAGTACTCTTTGCTGTCTTTAACACCTGGCTTGATAGTTGGTGAATCATCATGCCAGTCAGCAGGGCAAACCTAAACAAACACCTTTCAACAGATAGCACTGAACCGAACACTTCTACGAAGTGTAAACCCTCGGTTTAATGAAGTGTACAGCGTTCTTAAATGAACGCGGTAAGTTAGGTGATAACGATATTTAATACTTACCTGGATACTTAGATGGTGCTTCTTCAACGAATGTGCGGGCCCCAACATAATCTCCATTCCTCGGAGATTACTGGTCTAGCCATTGTGGTTCCCTGGAGCCCCGACGTCAGCCTAGCCAAAGTTTGCCTCAGGTCCTCACACAACAGACAGTCGCCGCTCTTGCGGATAAAAGGGAGGTTTGTCTCTATGCGACTACCTTGATAACAGGACGGTGCTGGATCCTCGTATTCATCCACCTCTAGTTGGGCTTCCTTATGGAAACTCGACAACAACGAACACCTCTCAGCCAAGATGAGGCAGTAAACCGGTGGAAGGAATGACATTTAGTAGGAACAAAAAAAACTATATGTTAAGCAACAGACTGGAAAAAAAATTAAGTGAATCTTTTCACACCAATTTACACATCGTGTAAAAGAAACTGGAAAGCTAAACATAACAACGCTTCGGAGCTCTTATATAAAACGAATATTGTTCAAATCCTCAACCTATAGTGAACAAGAATTTGTTTATAGCCCACCTCTCCGTGCTTTTCCACATACTGGAATGCTTTAAGTGTACGCAATGCCTCATCAACAGACCGACCAACGGGCAAATCATTACATACGGTGTGACGTACTACGCCTTCTGGATCGATGAGAAATAGACCACGGAATGATACACCAGCTTCCTGAAATAAACTATGTAAATAATTAAGTCATAACTCCTCGAACGCAATGAACAAGTCCTCAACCAGACCTCATCGAGTACTCCAAAGTTTCTCGCAATTTTTTTGTTGAAATCAGCTAGAATAGGTATATCCATCTCACCGAGGCCTCCATCTTTACGTGGAGTCTGAGTCCATGCCAGGTGTGAGAAATGGGAGTCACATGAACATGCCACTACCTGAAAACAAACACTATTAGTGAAACCACCTTATGTTTTTCATATATGCGAAATTTAGATCGTAAAATCTGAGAAAAGGGCGAAAAAATCCAAAAGACATCTTCATGTCACAACTTATTTAACTCAACCTATTCTCTAGTCGTTATCCACCCAATTTCTCCCATATTGCTAAGATATTAGAACATCGTAGTATAGTAACAGATATATAAAATCACATTCACGCAATAAACACTCTTTAGAATCGTGTTAACTCACTTCACATCCTAATGCGCGAAAATCCTTCGCGCGATCGCCGAACGCGATAATTTCCGTTGGGCAAACGAATGTGAAATCTAGGGGATAGAAAAAGAACAGCAACCACTTCCCGCTAAAGTCCTTGGAAGAAATAGCCTAAACTATCAATTTAAAGTTTCCATTTTATAAGCACCAATGCCTCATAGAAGACCTTATCCATAATAATGTTTTGTGGTCAACCGGAATTTTTGCAGCAGAAATGTCTTTTGATTCCCACTATTCCTTGAACATTAGAACCTCAGCAACTACACAGCTGATTATCAGCACTGATTTTCAAGAATTTACAAAACATTATTTGACTATCGAATTCAATATATAATCAGCAATAAATAAGTAATAATGGTGAACACCTTAAAATCCCCATCGACGACTGCTGTACCCTCAAAATCAGGTACTTTACACTTCGGTCCAAGTGGTCGAACCGCTTTCAGTGCTGCGGTGATCGAAAGTTGACGTGCAGAACGAAGACCAAGTGCTGATCGTGAGGAGCCTCGAAGAACACTACGTATCATTCTGAAAAAGCGATACATATCATAGTCTTAAGAATCACACTAAAGCAACTATAACGAGAAAGCAGCAAAGTCTAATGCGTCCAGCTAAATTCTAGGAGAACCGTCATATGAACCCATGAATGAAAATTAGACGAACCGCAAACCTATCCTTATCGCAAGCATAGAAACGATCGCTCCTTCCAAATTTAACTTCAATTTCTGACTTTGCCTTTAAAAATTAAAAAAAAAAACAAGAAAACAACTATATACGTACATGCATGTATGTACACATATATATATATATATGTATACATATACATAATTGACACTTAATATTTGGACGGCCCGTCCTTACTGGTTGTACGGGCCCCAGCATAATCACCATTTATCTGAGAATTGCTGGCTAAGCGGTTCCTTGGAATCCCAAGGTCAGCCTGGCCAAAGTCTATGCCAGGTCTTCACCACCGCGGACAGTCGCAGCCTTTGTGGATCGGAGGGAGATTTGCCACAGTGCAACTTCGATACCAAGACGGTGGTGGACCCTGGTATTGGTTTACTCCTAGCTAGGCTTCCTGATGGAAACGCCGGACTCTTTGTCAGCTTGGGAGACCCTGCCGGGATGACGAATCCCCTCGCTGTAGATTGTAGCCCGACACCAAGGAACACCTTCCAGCCACGATGAGGCGGTAAACCGTTGGAATGTCTATATATATACATATATATGTATATATACACACATGTGTGTATATACATACATGTGTATATATATACACATGTGTACATATATATACATGCATATGCATATATATATATATATATATATGACCACTTATGTGTACGCGTACATATATCCACGTATGTATGCGTGTATATATATATATATGTATATACATATATATATATATATATACATATGTATATAATGACATGATGTGATTTGATATAATTTTGACGCCGATAGCTTAGTGGTAGATGATGTCGCTTAATATGTTCAATTCCCAAGCCAATCATTCACTTCCTCCAATAAACAAAATCTGGTATTCTGTGATGATCATCCCAACATCGAAAGGTTTCAACATCGTCTCCGGATCAACAGGTAGGAAAACCGCGCAAAGCAATCGCTGCTGAAAAGGTACTTCCCTAGGATCCACATCGCAGTGGAGATCTGGACACGCCCTTGCAATGTTAAATCAGGACTCCAGGAAGGATCAAATTGCTCAACAAGCAACTGGCCAGCCTGTGCCCCGCACACTGGATGCTCCCGCCTATGACGTCAGCCGGTGAGGCGACTGATGAGCAGTCATAAAATCTTGGGCTACCCAGAACGTTACTGGAACCGGATCTGACGAACACACGTACGACACGCCATGGAAATTGTCTTTTACTCTGCATGTATAGTGCTAGAACACTCTCCTCAGACACTGATCTCCACGCCTTTTTTGAAGCCACAGGCCGCATAGAATTCCAGTGATCGCACTACATGAAACAAAAAGCAGGAAGACCGACATAAGCTAACTACACAACGGGACCCTTCTCATTCGCAGAGAAAAGTCCCATTACCAAATGTCGGTGGCGTGGGCTTTTTCGTCCACCCGTGCATTGCCCATCTCGTCAACTCGTACGGAAACCTCTCCACCGACATGGTCGTCCTCTGTCTTCAACAGACGCGTCATAAGAAGATCATAATCACCAACTGCTACTTACCTACTGATGCAGCTAATGAGTACGAACTAAATGTCTTCTAGAAGTTGGTGAAAGTTATCCGCAACGATGATACGTATTATAGATTTGTTATCGGAGACTTCAAAACCAGAATAGAAAAGTCGAACGAGAGCGAATACAGGATCGGAAATTTAGTATGAGAAAAAATTGAGAGCGGAAACCGCCTTGCAGGAATTCTGTCTACAGCACGTCTCTTACACTGAAACTCGTTTTTCCAGAGGAAAGAAAGTCACCGCTAGACATGAGAGTCTTCTAACGGCACGACTCCTGCGGAAATCGATCATATTTTTTGACAAACAAAACACGACGCCATTTTGACGCATAGGTTATGCCGTTATTCTGCACTAGTTCCGATCACTGCCTTCTTCGCCCGAAGATTCGATTCAGCCATAAGCTGGAAAGCGATTTAAGTTATCGACCACGAGAAAAAGTTTACCTGTATTTGATCAGGACATTCTGAATGAAATCCTATCCAAACGTGACTAGCAAATTAAGGGAGAGACGATTGAAGACAACGAGCTGCTTTTCGAAGAACTTAGGAGTTGTTCCAAATACGCGAATTCGTCTGTTCCCAAAGCAAGAAGATCGGATCGCCTCTCCATTACCACTATTGAGGTTCTCGAGAGAAGGAAACTGAAGCACGATGCTACTGCAACACGTCTAACACGGCTAGTAATAAATACCAGCTGCAGAAAAGCTTCGGGAAGATCTAAATCGGTACAGACAGAAGAAACTACTAGAACCAGCAGAGAAAAAACCGATCAGATCAAACTGGATGGTTTCCTGATTGCAGAGACCACCTCGTACGCACGTCTTGGACGATCAATGAATATGGAAGACAAGATGAAAGAAGAATTGGCTAGAAAACGAAAGCAGCCTGCGCCTCATTCGGGCCTTCAAGAGAAGCCGCCGATCAACTGAAGGACGTGAAAATCAGAGCTCACCTTTCGGACTCAGCGGTCTTCCCAGTATATTACGAAACATAGGCTAATACTTCAGCCACGTCAACAATACTGGGCACTATTCACAGAGCACCGCTTTTTGAAATATAACCGGCACGCTCAATATGCACCCGGAACTGGAAGCTCTTACCTTTCAAACCCTATCCATCTTCGTGATTTAGGAGAATATATATCGATAGCGAAATATTGATGGGCCGGTTACATGAGAAGAACAGACGACAGTTGGACGAAAAGAATTACAGAGTGGGCTCCACGAGTATGCAGGCGCCTCCGAGTACGGCCACTTACACGTTGGACGGACATGTTCGTAACCAAAGTTAGTCGGCTGTACTCACAGCTGCAGTTATTTTACAGATCACGGTATCAGACTCGCACGCGCCACCATGCTCGAATAAAACTACAGTTATGGACGACGATTGCGAGGGGAAGAAACGAATGACAAATGTGCTGGGGTCCGCACAACTCGTGAAGATGGACCACCCAAGTATCCAAGTAAAGAAGCCCCGCCATCGCATCTACTGTGCTGGTCTCTGCACTTCTTGCATTCGATTCGTTTACCTCGCATCTATCGTCCGCAAAGGTCTACGAATACTTCATGTATTGTTTCACTGCTTCTTGGTCATTTCGTCCTCTATTCCTGCCGCAGAATGCTGGTCGAGTCGATTCTATTTGCATCCTGAAGATTGTTGAACTAAGGTGTTCCCATGTGGACTAGAGAAGAACGTTGGAAAGAGGATCGAGCTAGCACCATGCTTCGTGGTGGACCACGTCATTAACGACTGCGCTATCCTTCGTTCCCCTTGTTGTACTTATATGGCCTAAAGTATAAAGCACTTGGCATTGATCACTACCTGAAGGCGCGCCATGCATTCTTCATGAAAAACAACACAAGTGATTGAATGGATATTGGGCCCAAACCAGCTGGATATGACCAGCTGCAGTTACCGATATCTCAACTCAGTGTTTCGGCTCTCCGAGACAAATCTGTCAATAAGGTGCCGACTCCTGAGAAACACAGGATCTGATTTGCCAAAATCGCATAACTGGACCAATTTCCATGTGTGGATTGCAGGCTACCACTAATCACTGGACTAAACACAAATTTTAAAACTATTAGTTATCGAATAACTCCTACGAACACCATTAGTTAAACATCCCAATAATCCCTGTCGCATAGCAAATCTATCTTCGTTGATCGTACCGTCGAAGGAGCAAAAGCGACACCGCTTATCTTGCGCGAAACTCTACTTTTGCTGGCTTTTGTGAGCAGATAACCCTAGACAATTGGATTGGATATCTTACTTTCGAACAAAAATACCAATATTGTATAGCCCAACCATGTAAATGAGGTCGTTGTGCGTAAAGGAACTAATTTGTCTCAGCTTCGTCGCAGCGATGTGTTGCTGTATCTCAAACTCCACCAACCCCACCATAATGCTCATTCTTGAAATGCATTATTTCCCACGACAGAAACCAGAAGTATACACATTGTAGCGAGGGCGGGCTTAGACTGTTGGCAACGAGAATGCAAATATTTTGCATTCAAACGCGCTCTCATACCCATTTACCACTAAATCCTTCCAAGCTTATATGAAAGTACAATCCATGAGACGTATGGATATTTTAGCCGTTACGACAGCAGCATTTAAACAGCCAAATTTTGCACATGCTTTATTAAAATCGTAACACTGTGGAAGCGAACTAAAATAGTCTAATTAAAACAAGAGGAGTGTAAAAAGATCACGGCATAACACAAAACACGGCAAAAAACGATTGTACAGCAACCTATAGGAACATTGAAATAAGCGAACAATCTCCGATTCGACCAATTTAACACCAAGGTATCAAAGCAGTCAAATGGGTTTACAGATGAGTGCGAAAATAGACACCTATTTCCTCCCTTTGCTCGATGGTGGCGGCTTCACGAAGCACCACGTAACGCCGATTTTTTGCCCAAGAAGTTCCTTGCCATTTAGACGTTCAATTGCAGCAGCTGCCTCCTAAATACGACGAGAAATTAATAGGTTGAACGTCCTAGATTGAAACACATGAAAAGTGATCACTCCAGAGTCGATCCGACCTGTCAATGTACAGAATCTCGACTAATCTATACGCATACCATTTACCTTTTGTGTTTCGAATTCGACCAAAGCGTATCCCTTCAGAAAACCTGTTCTTCTGTCCAGATTCAGGTGAACATTCTTAATCTCTCCGTACTCCCCAAATTTATCCTGAACGTCTTCTTCTGTCGCTTCTTCGTGTATATTTGTAACAAATACGATCCAGCCCTAAACTACTTTGTAGTCCATTCTTCGACAAATTAATTTTATGATGAAACTTTATTTCGAAATGATTTCTTACGAAACCTAAGGATACGACACATTTATCACCTCAATCGATAATCGGCAGATATAAATCGATCAACATAAAACATATGATTCTTGAAGTCAAACTTCGTCAAACAATGATAACAAAAGCGAAAGTGATTTGAATAAAGAAATAATTAGCTGTACCTCAATAGATCTCTGGGGACCCGTGCTGGTGCCGTCATTGTCTACAACGTCGTAGACAATTCTCTCAGCTCGCTGACGTGGCTGACCAACACCGCGACCCTGAACTGCTATTTAAATTACAACTGCATGGGTATCTAAATTTTCCTGGAGCCCTATGCGTACAGTGAAAAAGCACCAACCTTCGACGACTTTGCATTCACCACATTCGTCTCTTCATTCTCCATTTCCACATCGAGAGCTTCCGACATCTTGTTCTAAAACCCCATTTTATTCCTACATAAATGCAAGTTCTCAACATTATACGCTAACAAATTTCTGTGATAGAAAACGAGCAGAGATTTCGACACGACAAACAAATAATAGGCCAGTAGGTATGGAAATTTGGTACTAAGTCTAAAAGTCCTTTGCTAACATCTAATGACAGTAATACCGCTTATTTCATCTTTTCCAATGAATTTCATCCTGAACGTAGACAATGCTCTAGGTACCTGCAGTAAGGTCGACGCTGTATTTGGTTCAAAATCAGCTAACGAGAGCACTATTTATCACCCGGCAGGCCAAATTTTCACATCTACTGACCAAAAAAAGTGTTCTGCATAGAAACAAATTAATCCAGTAATAAAGCCATAAACGTACGTGGAAGACTGGAAACACCAGGGCTGTAGAGACAAATACTGGTTTGAAAACCGTATGTGCATAGAAAAGAGCTTCCACAGAATTAATGGTTAATGAAAAATGTGACCATACAACAAGAAATGATATGAAATTTCCAACTCGGAGATTAAAATCTAACAAAAACACATTCAAAAAAGACAAGAAACAATCGCTGATATTACGACAAGCTCAAAAATTTTCTGTTTTCCTTTTTCACAACAAAGAGTTTTCTAAATCAAGGTTCATTATGGACATCGAACGTAGTTGTTTCACTCAGAAATTGAAACCCCCGCCAACAAGGCGCCGCATGCGCCTCGTGTTTCGGTCTTGATCGCGCATCTTCTTTTCAATCTCAGCATCTGTAAGGGTTTCCAGGAACGGACCCCATGCTTCAGCTTCGGCAGGATTCCTGTAACATATATGAAACAGCTTCTTCGTAAACAAGAACTACGCCGACTAAATAACTTTTGTCTCGAGGTATTTTGCAATTTAGAAAATACAGTTTTAGGCACAAATATTACCTAAATGTACACTCCACAGTTGGTTGTGGGCTTTCTGAAAACGCATAAGTCCTTTGATTCCATTGAAGCTGACCACGAATGGAGTACGCAATTGCTGAAGTGAATTCACCTCCCAGTCCAAGTTCTGCACAAAGGCTTCGCGCGAACTGTTCCGGACTATTTTCCGGATTAGACATGTCCCACCTACAAAGTGATTAGAGCGAAGAGATAAAATTCCTGATTGACAACCAAAATTCATTATTATCGAAAAAACATATACTCGAACTGATCAACAAGGCTTTGATTGCCAACGTTGATGTTCAACTTCATGATTGCTCTTTGATCAGTGACGTTAGGATCTAATGGTGGTGCCTCAGCCGCAGCTTCCAGCTAAAATGATCTCAATTTCAAAAAAGTGTTCCTAACTGAAACCTACTCAAACAACATTACTGACAAAACGTATCAACATGCGAGTAAAAATAATTGACGACAATCCACCTTTCGATTATCTTATGGATTATATTATTCATTTTAACATTTGTTACAACTTATAGTAAGAAAATCATCGTTTAATGTGAGTGGAAAACTACTGTGACGAGAACCACTTCGAAACTTAACGAAATCCTATACTAACTAAAGAAACGCACCTGCTGATAAATTGCTGACGCAATAGCAGGCTGGAATGTGCTCGTCGGCAGATCGAGATCTTCACACATCATTTCGGCAATCTTTAGAAAAAAAAACAATTTTACCTCAAAAAACCCCTAGACTTGCAAAAACAACTTCGTAACTATATATTTCCTCACAACTGTCAATATATCTGTACGCCTCAAACGCACTGTGCAGTGCTAACTAAAGATAAAATTCTAACCATTGTGGTGATAAACTAACCAAATCTGGAGTTACTAGTTTTTCATTTTTGTTGTAGCAAAATGTATCGCGGAGTTTCACGCCGTCCAACTCCATGTCGAGTCGAATCGGAACTAACTCTTCTGGTTGTTCGCCATTTTCCGCAACTCTTAAAAAACCAGGCTACCTCAACATAGACGTTCTTCGATAACTATTAGATAAAATAACAAGAAAAATCATTTGTAAAACACCAGGAAACATGACGATACTAAAATTTTCTGCAAAGTTCTGAAGATAAGCATAACGTGTAAACAGCGTGCAAGATGTGAACAAAAAACCGGGAAAAAGTGTAGAAAACATGTATTGTAGAAAAACTGTTTCCAAACCAATAATGCAAAACTCACCTTTTTGCCTGCTCAAGATCTTCTGCACTATATGCCAATTCGCGCGGTTTCACTCGTCCACGGGCATGCGCTAAAGGACACGAACACGGTACTGACTCCAAGTGATGTGAGCCACTACTCACCTAAAAGCGATCCGGTATAAAAAAAAAAGGAAGATTTTATTGAAGGTATTGAAGAATCTGAATCTGTACAGTTCCCAAGTTTAATGAATGTTGGATTTCCTGACACGACCAACATCAGAAACTCATTTGTTCATTAAATGTAAAACTTTCTTTGAAAGTTCAAAGCATCTTCTCGACAGAATAAAAAGTAGTTCCTAACCCGTAAAAAGGTAAGGACTGTATAAAATCCGGTTAAAAAACTATGAAAGAATCAACCACCACGGTGCTGAGATATTTGCAAAACTCCGGACCGCAGGCATCCGCGATAGAGAACGAACGCGCTGTTACCCTTTCCGGGGGCTAACGCGTTCATACACTATGCGGGTCCCTCGTTTCGCTTGTCTCTCAGCTAGTTCTATTGATCAGCACCATCAGCAGTCACCTGTCAAAGAGAATGATCTAGAGAGCCCACATCCGCAACGAACATAGTTAAGCTGAGGCTGTGGTCGAAATCATAATGTTAACTTTTTATTTACTACCTATTGTAATTTTCCATAGGAGTGTATTACGTGTGAAACAACCACAATGGTGCTGAGATATTTTTAAAATGCTAGACATTATAAAAGAATCATTCACTACAGGAGTGACCAAGAAACTCAAGTTCTAGAGGTCTTACAACAAGCAAATGTTAAACTCGCAGTCGATTTTGTGAAATGTGAAAAACTTCGGTACCGTAAGTGAAATTATGGCAGTTCAAATTCCGATCAGTCTGGAAAGAAATTCAACGCGTACCATTTGATATAGTAATGCAAACTTCCATGGATAAGTTATCATTACTCCCAAAAGTTAGTGGTAAATGTTCTACATTAACATTTTTCCCCATATTCGGTTTCCTAGTTGTTCAAACTTCTCACAAAGCCAAAATGATCTGGCGAATGAAAGGATGATTCAAGATACACAAAAAGAAAATAAAATAAAGAATTACCTCAATTCTTATACTAAACCTAGACATTACATTGATAATAGTGAAAATCTTAACTATTATTCACGGCAACATCGAACATGTCAAAACGTCCATAACTAACGCGTTATCGTAGGAACTCATGTCTACGAAACATACGAGGTTACCAAACGTGTTTGGGTTGGTCGATCGACGTTAGCCCGCCATTCTACCTTCCCCGCGTCCACATTTTTTCGCTTATCCAAGCAGATTGCGAATCCTATATGTACCCTATTTTGTCCCTGGAGTATGTCACTGTCGAGGAAAAAAACCTTATACATCACTAGTCACAAATTTTAGAACAAACACGGGCACGCATTCTTACCGGTGGCAGTTAGAAGCTTGCATACTGCAAAAGAATACTCTGCAATCAACGAGTGAAATACAATAATAACACGCCACTCGACTGACTCCAACCATAGAAACTCAGGTTTAACGAGTCCAATAAAATTACTATTTCCTATTCCTCCATTTGAAAACTTATTCTGAAACACTGCTGCACTTCCTCTTTATTCGCTCAGCAAATATTTTTAAAAACCAACTTGTTGTCCCATCCAACCTGCTGGCAAATTAGGTTTGTTGCTCTTCGGTACTCCAGAATCTACACGAGGAATAGCTGGGGTTGAGCCTGCAGCACGATACTTCTCTTCCTGTCCAGCTAATAATTCGTCAATCTCATGCGCTTTCACTAACCTTAAAAGTGCTCTCATAAGTGAATTATAATTCTTTTATCCAAAAAACCTGGAAAATTATCACGAAAATTATAACGGCGTAATGATTCCATCTTTTTGAATGACTTACTAGACTTCCTCTCGCCATGAAGTCATTCTACTAATAGTGGCGAGGAACTATGCTGGTTCGCACCTAGCTACCCTCATTTTAGAAGCTCTCGTTTCGATCAATAACCAATTCAATCAATTCACATACATTATGTTAGTGTGCATGAAAGCTTGCGAAAGCGCTATTTGTCGAAGCTTTTCTTTATCCTCTACAGTTGCTACTTTTCTCCAGAGAACTGGATACTTCTTGTACAGCGTTCCTCTATGAAGTCTGAGATATGCACCAATTTCGGAGCCTAAACAAGAAAACTGAAACATGCCAAAATCTAAATAATAAACGCACTGAGAATGATCCTTTACTTTAAAAATCTTGTACTGACATTAAGCTGATCAGTCTCTTAGATAACTACAGATGCTTGTAAATATATCCACATCCGACATTTTGAATGAAACTGTGATGTCTCAACTTTTTCAGATTTAGCTTTTTGCAACCACATGAATTCTTCCCATTCTTTGATCACGGGAACAACAATTTTTCCATCAGGAAAGCTATACAACACTCTAGCCCGCAAAAAATGTACTAAATATCTGAATTCTCATGTACCTATATAATATCGTTCTCCCGAGTCATCCATTGTGAAGGACTGCGGCCGCGGTCCATATGTTGCATTGCTGATGGTCATAATTTAAGCACCTTAATACGGAACATTTACGGTTGTATAGCTTAAACATTCATTAAAGGCAAAATGAAAAAAACGATAAGATAGCATTAATACCATGGAAAAAATAGACTGTACATCAAATTATTAAAGGCTTTTAAAAGATCGACAAAAGCGTTCAAGTGTTCAAGTGTATAAAGTAATAAAACAACTACAGATTGAACAAAATACTACGTAGCAGTGCTCTGAACGAATTACAATTGCTCCAGTCGAAAACATCGGCACCACTTAGACAAAAAGTAATCACCTTAAGGAAGGTGATGTGGAAGCAGCAGAGTTTGGGGCATTACAACTAAGATATTAACTGTGCGCCACAATGAAATAAACACGAAGAGTACAGGACCGCAGGATTCCAGAAAATAAACCCCCTGACATGCCTCCTATCCAGGAAAGAATAAAAATAAGCAAAATATACAAGCGAAATCAAACAAAAAGACTAGGAAAGCACTTAAACAGTACACCACGCCCACACGGGAATTCGAAATGATTGCCAAATTCCGTCAAAAGCGTCACGTACATGCGCAGCAGCTGTTATTGGAGCGCGTCAATTGGTTACCAAAGGGAATATGAGACGTTTTCCGTAGTTCCCAAGTCCTAACCAAGTCCTAAACGACTGCACTGGCAAATTACTAATCGTGCTTCTTCACGAACAACTTGATTGAAGAATACCATGATCGTATTCATCGACAGATTATTAGTTAAGTATGGCATGGAACACCGACGGATGAACACAGCACTGTATAGGAGCCATATGATTTATCATCCGGACATTAAGAACTATACTGGTGAGAACGAGGAACTGCAGGGAAATTTCCAGCGTTATCTCTGGGCATCCTGTTCAACGAGCGTTTCCATAGTGATGTGACGAGGCGAGGTGCCAATTTCGGGACTGATCAGATTTGTTCACTAGCTAGGTGTCCGAATGGTTCAGTTCTTCAAGGATTTCATTTTTTTCCTACCATAGGCACTTTTCACGACTGTATTCTTGGCGCAGGATCCTTAATTCCTCAGGAACGCATCGATCGATATGCATTCACTTCATATACTGTGCGGTATCCAACTAATCCAAACGATAACCACCGAATGGGAGATTCCAATAAATATCAGGTAATTCGAATAGCGAAAAACTTTTGTCTTCTTCGGGTTACTGTAGTGTCTCAATAGCTGTCAATCACTAGAAGCTGAGGTTTAAGTATTGTATCAAATCTCTCTCACTGACTTGTGGTTTTGTCAGCCTGAGAGTAAACAATTATTCTTTCCTTAATGTGACTAAAAAAGAAAACAATGTTCTAATTAAAGTACTGCTTCGTTTGTATGGCTTTATGAATCGAAATTCTCAACTACTTTACCGAAAAGACGACTGGCTGCAGACCTCGGATAATCGTCCAGAATCTCTCAAACCAACAGTTTATCACTTAAGTGACTAGGTGACGATGCTTCTATGCTCCTAACTGCAACGTATCACACTGATTAGGTCACCGATATCGGCGCCGCTATCACAGAGGAAATCTAGTGGCAAGACGATCCTCTTCTGATCCAACAAAGGCGACAACTGCCTTTATCAATAAGTTGTTAACGTTCTGACCCAAACCCATCGAGACTTACGGAGAAAAAAGTGTAGCAAACAAGTGAATTTCTGGCCAGGTAAGAAAATATGCTCAACTCTGCGCATTTATTTTAATTGAAAAGAACTATTCTACTACTAAATATCAAGTGCCTCCAACGGTCTACCGCCTCATCGTGGCTGGGAGGTGTTCGTGAGTGTAGTGGCTGCGATGTACAACGGGTGATTCATCCTCCTAGCATGGTCTTCTAAGCTGAAAAGGAGTCCGGCGATTCCATCAGGAAACCCAGCTGAGGATAAACCAATACTACGATCCGCCACTCTAGCATCAAACTAGTCCAAACAATCAAACATGGTGGTAAATACCCCTTTGTTACACAAGAACATCGACTGCCTGTGGTGGTGACGACCTGAGGCAGACTTTGGCTAAGCGGATCTCGGGACTCCAGGTAGCCACAACGGCTAAACCAGCAAAATCCGGAAAAAGTGGAGATTATGCTGAGGCCCACACAAATAATGAAGACAGGCTATCCAAGTATTCAAGTAAATATCAAACCTGGAATCTATAGAAATCCTTCTCATGACCGCAGATCTATCGGGAAGTTGTTTCCTATAAGGCACTGACGTATAGAGATAAACAAAAGTACACCTGCACCAGTTGTCCTTCGATTTGGTCGTCAGTTGGATTAAAGTCTACACTCAGAGGATTGAGAGCATATGAGTGAAAAATTGTAACATTTACCGAAGATCGACGATAAAACTGTTTGTAAAACGTAAAATCAATTCCCCCGTGTAGACAGATAACCACTAATCAAAATTCATCTGACTTTTTTATGTCCATAAATTAGTTGCATGATCTTAAAACCTCAATTAGATATATTCCAGCCACTATTTCTTGAGAGTTATTGCCGGTTATCCAACATTTATTGAATTCGACTATCCTACAGTGGAGAACGTAACCGATGGTTATGGTGATGATGAGGCATCTTCGTCTTCAATTAGGTCAATACCACCCAAAAAGTAGGTAATTTCCTTCAATTTCAAGCCAAACATGAATCTGTATGGTGTTGTCTCCTGTTTCAGATCGCTCAATTGGTCTTGCAATTTGTTCCCTGGGGACAGGAACGCTTGCACATCAACCCTTACCGCCGACAAATGCCAGAACAACACACAGTTTTCCGCTGGATATTGGCGATCGGCAAGATCCTGTGAGAAAGATGGCCAGCTGATTTCCTGCGTAAACGTGTGGGTTGTTGATATTTTATGTTCTGAAGTCCACTTTGCAGTCCTTTCGAATCCTCATTAGTTTCGCGATCAATTGACCCTCTCTTTCTCATATAAGCGCCAGAAACCGGTTAATGTCCGCAACTCCTACATAGGGGATAGAGAACAAACGAAAACTGACCTTGCATTTGGCCTAACGCGCAGGAGATAGGACAGAATGGAAAAGAACAATGACTGTATTCGATCTGAATAAACCCTGACAATCCCAACAAATCAGCAAATTACTGGTCAAATGAAAAGTGGGGTGAGACCTGCACGATTCTTTGTGAAAAATGCTATTAAAATACAAGGGCAATGGCCACTAATACGCAGCTTGCTTCGCTTTGTCATTGTGTAGGATTCTTCAGGAGTATGTTAGGAGCTTTTAACTATGGAAGTGGTGATGGATTGTCTTCCATTATTATTGCATAGGAAAAGTATGAGCGAATTCAACCCAAACAAAGAGTTTGAATCAATTTGTTCTCAGGATAAGTATGCAATCGTTACGGTCTGCGTTCAATCCTATTTCAGCCACCTAAGCAAGCTACATGGCAGATCCGTGGGTCCAAACATAAGTTAGACGGAATTGTAATAATTTTAACTTATTGTTTACTGCCTACTCTTTTTAATGGCAGGATATAACTTCAACGATGCTGAAATATTTTCAAAACTCCGGACCGCAAGTGTCAGCGGTGGGGAACGAACGCGCTATCGTCTTTTCCGGTTAGTACCGCGTTCACCACCACACTATGCGGATCCTCTATTCCTGCTGACGGGTGATTGTTGATGGCAGAGATCGATAGAACTAGCTGAGAGACAGGCGAAACGAAGGACCCGCATGGTGTGATGGTGAACGCGTTACTCCTCGGAAAAGACAATAGCGCGTTCGTTCTCCACCGCTGACACCTGTGGTCCGGAGTTTTGCAAATATCTCAGCATCGTTGAAATTGTAATGCTTCATTAATATTCGGTTCTATCCCTAGTCTATAAAGAGCACTAAGTTCCTGTAATTGTTTTCACTGGTATTCTTATATGGTCAGTGTTCATAGAACTACCAGTATAGTATGTATTTCCCTTTAGAACAATCACGAACGACACATGTCAGGACGCCGTATTTGAGGTTCATAATGCGTCCATGGTTCATCTTGTATTAAAAGACCTAAAAGTAAGTACCACAACAATACTCGAACAAAAAGTAAAGTTATTAATTATTTCGCGATTTATGAGACATCATTCAGCTACCATCTACTGTGATTCAAACGTTTACTGAACATCATAACGACCGCATTAAACCTAAGTGCTGTTACCCCGCACTTCCTGTAGTTGCAGATAAACCGTTCTACTTTTTCAACTCAGGTAAGTTGAACAATTGGAGGAGTGAAACTTTGTTTAATCTTTCAAAACGTTAAGGTGAAGACGGTGGCTGCGAAAATAAACCGAAGTTGGTGAAATTTGGTATAAACACAACTGCAACGTGTTTGCTAAAGTGGTCAATCTGGGTAAGGCTAATTTTGTCTTTGTTTTTATGTATTCGTATTCCTCATAAGCAAAGGTTGTCACATGGCATATAGGGACTATGGAGCTTTCTAGAATTCGTAAAGTTATCATTCTGCAGAATACCGGAATATCTTTTTTTTTTCAGGGAAACGCAGACGGATGCCCATCTATGGACCAAATGAGAGCATTCTTCATTTCAAATGTTTCACACATATGCAACTGTGACTTATGCGAAGTACCTTTACTACAGTAAGCCATATTTTCATTGGTAGTTAAGTGAGATTAGGGTTCTTTTAAGGAATAAGCTGGCTTGGACTATTTTCTTCTACGGAATCAATAAAATCAAAACGTCGCAAACATCTGAATTCGAACTTTTGTTTTTTAAGCCTAAACAAAGAACTCTTGAAATCTACGGATCATTTCGAATATATCACATGAGTCAAAATTGTCACTACCATCGGCTTTAGTAAAGTGATGAAAAATGCATGACGATCATCTGTTGGAATTTCAATGGTTTCTTAAAAAATATATCCACAGGTTTCATTTGAGTGCCTCATTGATAACGTCTAGGTGCTAACAACTTCTTGAATTCCAGTTCTTAGAATCTACGTCGTTTTCTTATCTTAAAAGTATAAAAGATAAAGCTCCTAGCGTTGATCAATACCTCATGGATGCTCCATGCATTCGGCTTCATCAAGTATCGCTAGAGGTGACTGAACAGACACCTGACCTATACAGTGACTTGCTCTGGCCTTCGGATGTATCAAAGCAGTGCTGTTAACCACCCAGACAAGTATGGTACCAATTCGCCGACTCTATGAAGAGTTTGGCAGACCGGAGAGCAGGATGCAATCAAGGACCACGTTTGTGTTATAGGACACGTTTAACCACTGCGTTACACCCCACTTTCTTGTCATATTAATAACAAACGAATTACTCTACAAAATTAAATAAAGCATATTCTCAATGATATAAGAAGTAGCTTATGTTTCTAGGCAACCACTACCTGCACTTCACCAATACAATTCCACGTCATGTCTTATCCCTCATCAAGCTACCCTAACTTTTACACATGCCAACGGATTCATTAATAGTGCTTACTTAAGGTATGGTGATCATTTACGATAAAATCGAGACTTCTACCATAATACTAAAAACTTTTGTTAGATAAGGAGTTAAAAAGAGGTGAACGATTAAAAGGATAAAGTGTATGCCGCTCAAAATTAACCAAAAGCTTAGGCATGCGACATACCTTCGACTCCACTGAGCATAATAAAAGTGGTTAAATGAATATTTGGCCCACCTTGATGTTTCTATCCTCCCAGAAAAGTCCGCCACCAATTTGTCTACCCCGTAAGGATGGGAGAGTTTTGTTTATCCGGACGCGCGGTGGAACCCCATGGCCACGACGTGTGCATCGCATGGAACCTCTCTTCATTGTTACATCTATCCCGTTGTAATTTAAACTTCATATTGAACATTATCCTAATGTTTAAAGTGTTCATTAAAAACCATCTCACTTCCCAAACTATTTTCAGCTATAACTATCGAGTGATCTCGAGCAAAGAGGATTTGATACTAATCTCTGTTCGTACTCAATTTCTCGAATATAGTGAACCTTGTCAGAAATCCAGGTGATCATACACTGCCTCGACGGCTCAAATCGTTTCCCTTTAAAATCTTTTTCTTACTTATTACTTGATTCCATATTGAGAAAAAAACTGCAGATTCGAACTGCAACGTGGACGATTCCATTGCCCATCGGATAGGACTTGCTGGAAAGAATTATGGTTTCCTCTACAGGACCTTCCATCGTTTATCATATTACAAATTGGATTTGCTATCATAATATTGTTGCTTTTCATATTATCCTCTAAAAGACGAAAGCGAGCAACCTCTATCAGCTGTGACTGTCAATTTGCAATATTAAAGCCAAAAATATAAATCTTTACATGCTATTATCAGTTTAGTGAAATCCCACCCACACCACAACAGTTGCATGGCATTTGAAAATAATGACGAGCAAAAAATAGGTAAAAATGCGGTGCTTTAGCAAGTACAGACTACTTGTCAGATTCGGGCTTATATCACGTGTAAAAGATAAACAAATACACTCAAAATTAATAGTCCTTTATGTGATTGAGGTAACAAGAGGCTGTTAAAAGGATAAAGCTCTCGGCGTTGATCAATTCCTGAGGGATGCGCTATGCATTCGACTTCACTGAGCATCGATGGAGGCAATTGAATGCATACTCGGCCTTTGCAATGACTAGCGATGGCCTATCGACGTATGAAGCCAACGCTGCTATCCTCCCAGACAGGTCCGATAGCAATTTGCCGACCACGGAGGGATGGAAGGCTTGGTGAGCCATGGGCGCTGGAATCGATTCCATGCCCTTAAGTTTCTTAACTTCTGAAAATCTGTTCTTTATGATAGTTGGTCTAGTGTACCGATCTAAATCCTCACTCACACGAAGTGTGGTGTATTGAGAAGGAGAGACAAAGTTTCTCCTCTTCTCGAACGATTGCTTTTTGGTGTTTCAAGTGCAACTCGAAGTTTTTGGTTTGATATCAAGGCATGCTTGACGTACCTTTGGATTACTATCAGAATGGGCTTCCGTATTCGTTTGATTCCTCCTTGTGACAGCCAACCATGCCAGGACAGGATAGGTCACAATTAGTCATATTCTTTTTGTTCCTGAAATGAACAAGTACTAACACGAGAAAAGTGATGTGAACAACACAGTACAGGCCGTCTGTACCACTGAGCTATCGAATGAATAACAGTTTCTCACCTGATGTGAACAACCACTGGACCATGGCACTGCATGAACCTCATTTCCAGGAATGAGCCTTGTTCCAGAAAAGTTGAGTTCCCATGGAAGAGTAGTGCTATTTACACGAGGCCAGTGACGGTACCTACGATGTTTCTGTTGTCCCATTATGGACTTAAAGATTTTGACACGAAATTTGAGAAAAAATTTGCGAACTAAAAGGATACCTTCCCCGATGGACCAAGTACTTTCGAAGGAGGTGACAACTGCAAGCGTATGTCCATTTTTGGTTGCTGCTCTGCATCACACTGCCGAACTCTTCCTCAACATCACTAGCTCTGCCAATAGCTTTAGAAGCTAGAATCAGACAGTTAGAAGAAAAAACTATTAAGGAAAGATATTCGTCATAGCAAGAGGGTCATCAGTATAACATTCGCGATATCAAATGTAACAAATACAACCACCGGCAAACCATTCGAAAGATTCTACTCAATAGGTTCTGTTCGCTCTGTTCTCTTTACTATTACTCCAACTTACTAACTTTTGTTATCGGTTTTGTTTTCTAATGAAGAGTCCAACCGAATGATGTCGGAATTTTTTGGAATATTTATGCCACCTTCCTTCCCCGAAGCAAACCATTATTTCCCTCTTTCCGTTTACGTCAAATCGAATCTTACCAACTTTTCACCTTTTTACTTGCACTTCCGAAAGTTAAACAGCGCTCTCGTTAACTTCCACATAAAAAGCAAATCAGAAGCACAAAACCAACAAGTAAATTTCGCTGGATTGTGAAATAACCCAGCGAAACATTTTGAAGGCGACGAATGTCTGCATTTGCGTTCTAACGCGGGAAAATTCAAACACCAGTGCGTCCTCAGGTTATCTGTAGGAGGCGGTGTAGTCTCCAGCTCTTAGAACAGTTGTTTTCATTCTTTTGTCTGATTCCCATATTGAAGTATGTTTGTTTAAATTGGCGTATAATTTTAGTTTTACTTTGAGTTTTTTTTTCACCAGTGCTGTTATGGTCCGCGTGAAGCCACTGCCTGAACGCGCCTTAGTTGAGGGCCGGGTAACCATGAGGGAAACGACGAGAGAAATTATTCAAGAAGTATCTGTAGGGTTAGTTGTACGTTAAGTTGATTATACGTGTTTTGTGTACATATTGAGTAGCGTACTTTGAGTACCAGCGTTAATGTGGATTTGTGCTTGACACGTGCTAGGTTCCTCACCTCCCTAGTAGAATCAGTTACTTCCCTATATTCTTTTTAGCTAGAAACGAAGTGTTACCTTGTTTCTTATTACGGCAAAACTGACGTTTCGACGGGTTTCGCCATTTTCAGAGCCTGGGAGGGTCAAGTTGGCCATTGGCTGAGTAGATTGCATTCAACTTGGCCTTTCTAGGTTGTGGAGAAGGCGAAATCCGTTGAAACGTCAGCTTTACTGTAATGAAGCTTAAAGTAACACTTCATGTTTGCTCATCAAAAATATGGAGAATAATTCCATTAATGCCTGGGTTAATGGAAAGTCGGTCGTAAGGAGTGGTTACGTTCAGTGGTGGATGACTCCGATCGAGTTCCATTCCAGAACTAATGAGAGTGCAAGCCGTGAGAAAAACCGCAAAAAACTTTGACAGGTCATGACTGACATTCTATGGGGTATCAGCATTTACAGGTCGCATAGGGCTACAGCGATTATTGAGTAGATCATTCAAAATGGATCTTTTTCCGAAGATACTGATGGTATCGTTTGTTAACTTGGTCGACTATAGGGTGACATGTATGCTTTCCAATCGTGAAAAGTGACTAGGACTACTTCTTGACATCTCGGTAACTCTACCTACCTATATTTATAGATATGCGAATTCAATTTTGCATCAGAGATTCATTTAATGTCTCATTTTGAGTTTTACTCGGAGTATAAACATAACTTGTTCATAGAAAGTGGTTTATGAGGAAGGGACGGTTGTGTTGGCCGGATTGTTGTTCACAAATGAATAATACTTTCCAATTTTAGTGAACAGTATAGTCATCAGCAACATGGCTCGAATTCGTACTATGTGGAGCCAAACGAATACATGACCGATGAACAGGGCTATGCCAGACTACCAGGGAGCCGAAGGTGTGCTATTTTTGACCGTAATTTCTTTGGTTTTGATATCTTGACTTCTATATTGTTCATTGTCTGATGCGTTAAAGTTCATACCGTTTATCTTTATCTATTGCCATCTATGTGTTTCCCACTCGTCTTGTTTCTTTTGTTACGCTTATCCTTGTTGGACTTCGTGTTGAACCTTTTGGCTTTCAAATATCTCGTGATTGACTGATTAGATTTGGGTTATCGCGGGTCTCTAAAAGCAACATTTCATGTGTTTTGTGCCCTCAGCTGTACTTTCTGCTGCTAACATGCGGACCAGAACCGAAATCCCACGTGGAAATAGCAATTTAACGCGACAGAATAGGATATTAGAAATTGGGGACAGGTAGATGAGTGGTAGTGATGTCGTTCACTACGAGTAAGGTGGTATATCAAGCTCATAAAGTCCCTCATTCTGCCAGAGCCGAAAGATTGCTACTAGACTTGCCTGCGCCCAACTAGCTCCTTCAATTCCACCCAGGAAGGATCGACCCGAGCAGTATTCAACAACATTCATAAGGAGTATGACAATCCTTAAGCAGGAGCTGAACCAACACGCAGAAAGTTCGAAGAACTTTATAGTTGATGAATGCGAGAAAATGAATCGAAAGCAATAAGTGCTAGAATCCAAACAGTAGATGGGAAGACACTTTGTGTAGAATAAAGAAGATGATATGCAGAGCGAGTACGCTCCTAAATGTGATAGTGGACTGGTCTTTTCTTCTTTCAATGTAAGTGGCATAAATGAATACCTTGATTTCTTGCACAGTCCTTCCCGTATGCTAGTGCTAACCGACCCAAACGCGATGTTTATATTTCAGGGGAGTTTCCCTTCAGGGGTTCATTCAGTATCTCTTTTTGAGTTTTACTTGGAGAAGAAACATAACATATCTGTAAAAGAAAAATGAGACAGGCGAAACAAAGGACCCGCATGGTGTGGTGGCGAAAGCGTTACTCCCCGGGAAGGACAATAGCGCGTTCGTTCCCCACCGCAGGCACCTGCGGTCCAGAGTTTTGCGAATATCTCAGCATCATTGAAGTTGTAAAAAAATGGTTTACGTGAAAAGATTTGGGTCGTGCTGGCTAGACTTTCTTTCACTAATGAATGACATGTTTTAATTTTAGCAAACAGTACGACCATCGACAACATAAATCGAATTCTTATAACTATGCGGGGCCAAACGAATACATGATTGATGATGAACAGGACTCTGCTAGATTGCTAGGGAACCGAAGGTCTGCGATTTTTGACCCTAATTCCTTTGCTTTGTTGTGATATCTTGATGACTATATCGTTCATCGTTTGATACGTTAAAGTTTATATCGTTCTTTGTCTGTTGCCATAAGCATGTTTTCCATTCGTTTTTTCTTTTGTTACACTCATCTTGGCTGGATTGCTCGAATAACCCTTCAGACTTCAAATATTTCATGAATCCCTGGTTGGATTTCGAATATAGCGGGTCTTGAAAAGCATTCCATGTATTTTGTTGGCTGATCTGTGCTTTCTACAGCCAATATTCGAGAAAGAATCGAAATCTTAATATAATTAATTGGATAATTTGACAAAATAAACGAATTAGAAATCAGCGACAGGTAACTCAGTGGTAGTGATACATTCACTATGAGCACGGTGCTATATTGACCCCATATCGAGCTCATAAAGTCCCTCATTTCGCCAGAGCCGAAAGATTGCTACCAGACTTGCCTGTAGCCAACTAGTTCTTTCGATTCCACCCCACCCAAGAAGGTAATCGCACGGCCCAGGACTCCAGAGATGGTCGACTCGACCAGCATTCAGCGACATTTATAAAGAGAACTACAATCTTCAAGAGACTAGCAGGAGCCGAACGAACACACGGAAAGTTCCAAGACTTTTGAGGATGATGAATGCGAGAAAATGAATCCAAAGTAACAAGCGCTAAAGTCTACACGTAAATGTGAAGATGGGCCATGTGAAATAAAAAAAATAAAATTTAAAGGCGTATGCTCCTAAATGTTTTTTGTTGGTGTGGAAATGGTCTTTCGTTCTTCTCATGTAGGTGGTATAAGTGAACACCTCTATGATTTCTGGCACGATCTCCATCATGCGCTAGGTGAAGCCCTAAACACGATATTTGAATTGTCGTCGGTGTGATGTGAAGCAGCTGCTTCTAGGATATATTGGCAGTTTGTCAATATTCCATTACTGGTCTTTGTTACTTTCCACGCTGTACTCGTACTGTCTATTCGTTCTACCACAAACCTTTCCAGACCATTCCTGTTGAGGTTCAGGGCCTGTTTGAAAGCAAGAAAAAGGGTACTGAAGGAAATTCGGAAAGGACTTATGTTTAAGCCTAGTACTCTCTTTGGTGTTTTTAATTCAGCAGTTTGTTTCTTTAGAGTGTTGCGTGGAAGGCACTACTTCTGATCTTCTTTGATGGGGCATGATCATCTTGTTAAAACACACGTTTAAGGAAACATGGAGGTGCCAGTTGGAGCCATCGCGTACCTTTCCGAAGACAACAACTTAATCAATATATGGAAGAACAGTACAGCTCAGGTGGATTGGAGAGGTTAATTTTCGTCCGTTTTTTTTGCCGTTCTTTTATTCTTAGATTCATAATCTCCTGTATTATTGCTTTGAAGACCACGGGATTCAACACGGCAATCGTCCAGTCCCCTGCTGCGCACGATTTCAAGGGAAGGTGACGATCTCCACTCGCAAATTCAAAACGAAAACATTTTTGGTAACAGGTGCGAGGCATTTACAGTTATATTTTTTACACATTTATACTATGTTGTGCTTAAAATATGAACTAGTTTATGGGACTAACTAGAGCTCTTGGGTAGTGGACTGATACTGTCCAATTGTATCACATAGGGGTCGTCAAGGTAATCATAAGTAGAATCATGTAGGAACGCTAAGCTTTTTGTGTCAAAGTTAGGTGAAAGATATTGCTTCCATGACTTTCTGATGCACTGATTAGGAAACCAGGAAGAGTTCATTGAGGAAGAAGTCTTGTTTAGATTTAAAAGTCGCATCGATCGTCGTATCAGTGGTGAAGGCACTAGAACAGGAGGTTTAATTGGTCAAAATGGTGATCCTATTGGTCCAAATCTAGGAAATCGTAGTGTTTATGATGTTGACACACTACAGGGCAGCAGTTCTATCCGTTCTGGTGCGTTATTAACTTAATTTTGCTCTTAATTTATGTAATGCGTATTTGACATTGTTTTTTACTAATCGTTGTGTGTCGTGCCTTCTAACTCCATTAGTTAGCTTAAGACCCTAGTTTGTGTGATGTGAGAAAGTGCCATTTTTCGGCGGTGTACCGAGGTACGGCAGTTGCTCGAGTGCACTCATAGGAAATAGGAAGCAGCGCTATCGTCCAGGAGCCCGAGCACTACAGGAAATACGGCGATACCAAAAAACCACGAAGCTACTAATTCCAAAGGTGCTACTGTTGCCTGGTATTTATGCACATGCATTATGTATCGTTATTCAGAGACCGTTTCAACGTGTTGTACAGGAAGTGGTGAGGGACCTTTATCCTAAAGAAGAATATCGCTTTTCAGCAGATGCTCTCGAAGCCTTGCAAGAGGTGTGTTCTTTGAGCAGTTCATTTGTTTGCTGCAGTGATAAGTGATTGTGTGCTTCTTAGTACTGAGCTCTTCTTTTCCATCCACTCGTATTACTGTAACTTTTTGACCGCTAGTTTATGTAGTTTGTATGTTGTCGTTCATTTTGATGTCTACGTTTTGTTTTTTCCACCATCTGGATTTCAAAATGGATACTTTGGTTTCTTTTTTCAAATGTTTCATTAAGCTTTGGTGCTTGCAGATTAGCGAGGCGTTCATAGTAGAGGTTTTTGACAACACTTGTACATGTGCGGCACACGCGAACCGTGTTACTGTCATGCCGAACGACCTCCATCTACTTCGAATATTACAAAAATGGTAGATGGTGGAGGAGGTCCAGTCAGCTGTGAACATCAGCCACCATATCCCATTTATTCTGCTGAGGCCGTCTTTTGTTCAGCTTTCCACTAATTTGTTTTTTATTCAACAATGATTTGTTTTGTTCTAGTTTGTGTTTTATTCAACGTAATCATTTGTTTCGTCCTAATTTGTGTTTTATTCAACATAATCACTTACTATATCAGTTGTTAACTAGAACTCTGTTTATGCAACGAGACTAATTCATGAATGAAGCATTTATCGGTTTGTCTAGTTGAAACCCACTGATTAATAGTACTGCTTCTTCTGTTCTGAAATAATCCGTAGACGGACTCTGGTACGCTTGTCCTTGTAAGATTAAAAGTTAGAAAAATGCAAAAAATTCGACGAAGAGTGTCTATTGACATTGTTTTAGTAGAACGATGGTAAGGAACATGACCAGAGCAGAGGACAACTATATCAGATGGTAGATCGGCGGAGTGAGGACTCAGAAGTATCCAAATATCACCAATTCAGCAATTGATAAGTAATGGTCGTGGAATAAAGCTGTGAGTGGGACATGTGATGCGCTCAGTGATTTTTGTGGGTAGTTCGGTTACACAAGTGAAAGCGTAGACGCGCTGTGTTTTTGTAGACCTGATGACTGTATAGGGGTCAATAAAGTTAACTCTAGACCCATCAGTTCTCTGGATCAAGAAATTATTCAAACGGTAGTCAGCAAAGTCCGCTTTTTCGTCCTTATTGACGCATGGCCATCTCTCTTGGTGTTTCGGTCACTCAAAAGAGGAGCGCGGTGTTTTCTCCAGTTTTTCATGAAGAAGCAGGTCATCGGGTTGGTAGTCCCGTATAGCGTTTGAGATACCGTTGAACCAGCTAACTGGCTTGTTTAATAGATGTAGTTGAGGCTTATCTTCCTTGATCCCTCCAAAGATACCTACTAGTGCGGTTTTTCTGGTTGCTGTGGAACCAGATCGTTCACGTTCTCTTCCCAACCCAGATGCGTACAACTGGAACATTGTAAACATTCGTACGATTGAGCCCAATTTAGTCACTGTGTCTTTAGAACCAGCTAGCATTTGTCGCTCCTAGCTCTACTTCAGTACTGTAAAACAAAGTCGCCAAAAAAAACAGAAAAGGATAGCTCCTTACATCGGACCTAAATTCAGACGTTAGTTCTACAGCGCTTTTTCAAAGGATTGAGTGATTCCCGCCGATATTGTCAATGGAGGGCTTAGTAATAACCGAACATAACAAGATGTATACAAGAAACTGATTATTGCTCTGTAAATCTGCACTAAGAGGCGGATAACACGGCTGTAGTGATGCCGATCATCACGAGCATAATGCTGGTTCGTTCACTCACCAGGCTCGCCAAGCCTCTCCACCCTCCAGGGTTGTGAAGTTAGTAATAGACAATGTCCGAGAAAAAAACACTCTCTGCAGTCCAGCTGGGGAGGGTCTAAAACAGCTATTTCAAGACTCCAAGAAGAATCGACTCGGAAACCATTCTACGACATTTAAGCCGAAATAAAAATCCTCAAGTAGCAGCCGAAACCGGACGTAAAAGTTGGAAGACGTTAATGGATGATGGATGTGAGGAAACGAATCGAATGTGAAAAGTGCTGGGATCCGCACTGTAGGTGCGAAAGACGGGTCGTATAAAATAAAAAATGTCCATTAAAATGAGCCTATTCCTTGCAGATGGTGCAGTTGAACGAGTTGACAACTCGAAAGACCGACTTTCTATGAACCTCGGCATAAATAGTTGATATATTTATTTATGTGATCTTATAAACTGATCTTCTTAAGCTGACGCGAGGTTGGTACAGATCTTCGTTGTCGTTTTGATGTTGTTGAACGATGGCTGACGTTTCGGCGACTTCGCCTTCCTCAGAGCCTGGACGTACTTTATGTTAGAATACTTTTTATTATTCGGTGGAAAAGAAGGTTAAAGTATTAAGTATTAATTATTTATTATTATTATTATTAATTATTATATTATTATTATAATATTATTATTAATTATTAAGTATTAATACTTTAACCTTCTTTTCCACCGAATAATAAAAAGTATTCTAACATAAAGTACGTCCAGGCTCTGAGGAAGGCGAAGTCGCCGAAACGTCAGCCATCGTTCAATAACATCAAAAACAACGACAACGACAACGACAACGAAGATCTGTACCAACTTCGCGTCAGCTTAAGAAGATCAGTTCATAAGATCACATAAATAAATAAATGAACGAGTTGAATTCATGCATAATACAGTAAACATCTACTAAAGACTGTTTGTGTATATATGTGGCCACTTTTGTAAAATACACTGATTGTACCTACCAAACCAGTTCCTACTAAAATCCTACATTCCAATGAGTTGCAGACATGTCGGAAGCGGTTCGAGACCATCTTTCCAGAATACGCTCCCCACACCGTATAGAAGTAGATCATACATCATCTTCTTTACATGTCCCGTCATCACATCTACTGTACAGAACCCATTGCTTCTTGCATTCGATTCGTTTTCCTCGAATTAGTCCTCCACCAAGGTCTTCGAATGCTTCGCATGCTGTTTCTTTGCTGCTTAAGGATTTCGTCTTCTTTACAAATGTCGTAGAAAACTGGTATTCATCGCCCTTGCAGTCTTAGAGATAGCCTAGCTAGGGCGTTCCCACGTAAAGCGGAGAGAAGCGTTGGTTCGGGGAAGGAACAAGCGCTTTCGCTTCTTGATCGGCGGCACCGCTAACTGGTGCGCTAACCCTGTCCCGATTACATGTGATACTAAACAAATACCGAGATTTCAGTGACTACTGAAATTCATTTTTCAGTGACTTCTTTTACTACATTAAAGAGGAGCCTTACCTCGAAAAGCACCATTTGACAATCGAATTTCAGTTTCTCTTTAAAAAAAAGCCGATAACAACTAATCACCAAAGGTAGCTGGGTGCGGCACTGTTGGCTGAGACGGCTATACTCAACAACCAGGGAATATTTAAAACACCCATATGGACTTTATCAATTTGTTCTTACATGACCCAAAATCACACATATTGTTCGGATGCTGGCACATTTTTCATTCGATTCCTTTCTCGCTTCCATGATTTACTAAGGTCTTCTTCAGATTTTGCTTTAGCTTCGGGCGCTGCGTGAGGACGTATCGTTTTTTTAATGAATGTTGTCTGGTGGTTGAGTCGATTCTCGTTGGAACATTATTCGAGCTAGGGCGCTCCTAAATATTACTGATCGAAGAGGGGCGGGTGTAGCGCAGTGATCAGAGCCGCCCTGCAATATATAAGGAGTCGATCCCGTGCCCCAAGCTCACCAAGTCTTCCTTCCTTTGGGGTTCCGTAAATTGGTACCAGATCTCTCTGGCAGGATAGCAGCACCGATTCGATGCACCTATAGGTCACCGCGAGTAATTGTAAAAGCCAGATATACATCCACTCATCTCTAACTATGTTTAATGAAGTCGAATGCATGGCGCATCCCACATGGATGGATCAACGCCGAGAGCTTTATCCATTTACATTTATCGGAGAGAGATTCCTTGACATGTTTGATACCACTCCCCAACCTTGGAAGGAAAGAAGGCTCGTTTGTCCTGTGAGAAAGGTTGAACCGAGGCTCTGTCAGTACTAGACGGCATTTCTTCGATTTTGTTACGCTCACCCCAACTTTATCGATTACAGAGGAAAAACACTATTCTACGTCGCTCTGTTGTAGATTTATACGAAAACAAAAAGAAAACGTCGTCAACAAATTCTATTTTGATTTCTACAATACTAAGAAATTACAAAAACCTAAAAAGGATAATGGATAAAGCGGTCAATTTTGATCATCCTTAATAATGACTTTGATAGCCTATTGACATAGCTCAGTGCTACTATCCTCCTAAACAAGCTTGGCACTAACTTGCTGATCCCAGAGCGCAGGAAAGCTTAGCGAGTACGGAGCGAGGGCTCGAACCAGGAACCGCACGTGTATTGCAGGGCCCCTTTAACCATTGCGCTACAACGGGCCCTTCGAAAAGAAAGACAGAAAATACAACAGCCAAAGAGACGAAGCCAAAAAAAAAAAATTAAAAAACTTATAGTTCTGCAAATGCTAGTTTGGATTTACGTGCGCCATTCTTTGAAATCCAAAGATCGCGGACTGAAAGCGAGCCATGCTTCCCTGAGACGCAGATGGATCCAGAGGATGGACTCCTTGTTGCTGCCGCGCCGATTTGGCACTTACCTTCCTTATTAAGAGGACGTTCTTATGCATACATGCGTGTCTTCTCTATGCGTATTGTATTCTACTAATCGATTCGGCCAAAATCTTACAATGGAATGACAGGGAAGTGTATGGGAGGCGGTTAGGAGTCGCTTTCAACAAATAAGCTACACGCCAAGTTCAAGACTCAGCAAGCTATACGTGGGTACCAAAAGCTAAACACAATAAAAAAAACGGGCCTCATACACCTAACACCGAAAGCGCGCTAGTTACGACGAGTGCAGAGAGACAGCTAAAATCGAAAGACCATTTTAGGCTGCCTAAATCGCAAAAGACTAAGGTGATCTGTAGCTACAAGGCACGCACACTAGCATCGGAATCCTCGATACTGGACTTGATCATGCAGGTAAGAACGATGAGATACGACACCATTGGACTAGCAGAGACGAGAAGACGCCACCTAATCAACGTCGTCTCTTACACCAGAGAAAAATTGTTACATGAGGCAATACAGGAGTTGGCTGCGTCGGCGTTCCAGGCAGCAGCAGTTTGGCCATGAACATCGACCCATTCGAAAAACTAGCTGCCTGAATTGCGACTGAAGAGATGCGCATCGCATTCACAATCAATAAATAAAGGTTCTTTGTGAGCTGTATAAAAATTTTACAACAAAGATACCGCCATTCCAGAACGATACTAACATCGACGTCAAAAGAGCGGTTAGGCCACGCAATACAATCTCACCAAAACCATTTACCGTCACCTTCGAGAACTTCATACCAGAGCTTGAATGGGGCAAGATGGGAGTGAAAGGCGATGGTGGGTAATTACACCATCTTCGCTTTACTGGTTACATCGATCTGATGGCATCAAACATTAGCCAGGCGAAAGCAATTCTTGCCGACTTTGACAAAGTCTGTGGAAAGACTGGTCTTCGACTAAATGTCACAAAAACGATGTTCATGAAGAACGGATTGCTTTCGTATGCCTCATTCACGCTCGACGGAATGAATATCTCCGAATGCTCCAGTTGTGTTTACCTAGAAGGAAAACCAACCTAATGAGCGACTCAGCTCCAGAGTTGAGTGGAAGGAAACGAGCGGCTTGGGGAGCTTCCAAGAGCATCGAGGGTATGGTGAAGAGAACAAAGAACACCCAACCTCGTACCCACAATTTCGACCTAACGGTACCTCCTGCGTTAACGTAAGCGTCAGAAACCTGGTCGCTGCGTAAACGGGATGAAAAATCACTCAACGTTATCGAACGCGCAGTCGAAAGGATGATGCTAGGAGTAACCGTTCCACAAAAGTAAGGGATGGGATCCGAAGCTCTGATCTGCGTCAACGATCAAAAATCAAAGATGCCGTTCTGTACGCCAAACAGGAGAAGAAAAGGTGGGCCGGCGATGTAATGCGTATGAGTGACAACCGATGGACAAGAGCCGTTAGTGAGTGGATTCCTCGGGATGGCAAGCGTATTGCAGGAGGACCACCGACCCGATGGTTAGAGTTCTTCACAAAAGCTCTAGAAGTAAGATATGATGCTCAACGATTCATAGAGGGAGCAGAACCCAGTGGGCTACTCTTGCACGCGACTGGAAAGAATGGGAGATTTACTGGCGGCCGCTCGAGTCACTCGACGATCTGCGGGAGGACGGGCGATAGCGATAACAAACAGTGGGTAAGTGTTCATTTTCGTATTATGCAGTGCAATCACGTATAGGACGTTTTCACAATAGCATTTTGTTTTCGTTTCGAATCTAGCACTCGAAATGTTCAACTTTTGCGTTCGGTTGAAGGATGACTTGAAGAATGACGACCATTACAACGAAAGGTCAACATTGCCTGAGGAATCACACTACCTTGGTAGTCGTGAATCCATGCGTTTCTTGAAATCCTAACCAAAGCTGACGAAACCAGCATATCCTAGCTAGATGGTGACAATGCCCTTACGATTCCTCGTGAAGGCGGGCCACCCAAGCAAAAACGAATCAACAACAAATATTTACTCTAGGCGATCTGCGCCAAGCTTACGACCATCCAACTTATTCTACAATGATCACAATTATCGAGCGTATGTAGTACAAAGTCTCTAACAAAATGTACTAGTGAATTGATGGCTAGTACCAAACAGATCGTACTGCTTGATCGGGAATTAAACTGCGACATGGCCAGCAGCGAAAATTTTTGACGTTCTGGAAAAAATCTCGTCAAAACCTCCCTCCGATCCACACGGACCAACAGTGATGACATGGGAACGCTCCAGCATTTCCTCGGGAAACTTAGGATTCCACAGAAAACAGCACTCAACTGGATATAGCTATGAGTGAAGAAACCCCTAAACGAACTCAAACGATGATCCGACCAGCCTCATGGGCGGCAGGCTAGAAGAGATAAAGGAACGAATGAGAGAAGTACTACGCCACTCCCGACAAGGCACGCAAGTACTTTGTCGTCAATGCGTATTTATACAAGGAATAAGAAGCCCTCGGTGTCGACCGATCCCTGGTTGTTAGAGGTGACTGAATGCGTATTTGGCCTATGCGTGGACGTCCGGTGGCTAACCGATGTATGGAGTCCATCCTGCCATCCTCCTAGACAAGTCTGGTACCAAATCACTAACCCCTTGAAAGAGAGATGGAAGGCTTTATGGGCCTGGAACGAGGGGTCGATCCCAGGTGTATTGCAAGGCGCCTCTAACTACTGCGCTACACGCGTCCTCGATACTTATCGACAAATATCTTTGTAAATCCGTATACACCCAACGATTTAATACCAACAGATATGGTGAAAAATAGAATACATTGCCACTAGTCAAATCTCGAAGTCGCTCCGAAGACTTCCACTCGACGACCACTCGAACAACAAAGTTTGTGTCCGGTGTTAAGCGTTCCTATGATTCTCTAGGTCTCACGTCACCTCATACTGTTTACATCCTGCTACTTCCGATCGATTCTTTCACTTTTCCCCCTCTCTCCCTCGCTTACTCTTCATAGTTGTCGATCATGCATTGATTTATTGTAGGCGTGGTTCTCCACATTAAAAGAGATTATTATTATATGTAATATTATCATATTACCATAGCATGTCGACGTCTTTCTTTTGAAATGTTCCCGTTTTATTTCGCCTTATCCAAGAATTCATGCTCTGTTGCACTTTTAAAGTTGGTCTGACTGGTTAGAAATACCTGTTACTACCGTCAGATGGATATTTTACCCTCTTGTGGTCGTTACTTTTCACTTCAGCGATGTTTCGTGGGTTGTCAACAGTTTTTACGTCACAAAATAGTAATCTTTACAGGTGCGGAACATTGTGAATTCCTTACGCTGAACTGTAAATCGCAGTAAGGAGTACCCGGAAACATGGTGTGTTTTTGAGTCCATATAAACGCTTATTATCTTGTTACAGTTAGAATGGTCGTCTTGGAAATCTTGTATTTTGCTTGTTTTTTGATACTAGCGAGAATAAAAAGTCGCTCCTGGTGTGAAACTCTTCAAACAGTTGCGGCTGGGTTGTTTCTATTTTGTAAGATTGGAAAGTGTCAATTGATTGATAATCCAGAGCGCCACACTACAACCCTACCTGGAAGCAGTTCGTCATACCCTTCAGGCGGCACTCTGTCTTGAACAGTTCAGTTCACAAGTGGTGGAAAGGCACATGAAACCTGAGGTGCGTAACTGTTCCTCATTATTTTATGGGCTTAGAATAGCTTTTCTTGAGGCCATGACAGTGTTTTCTCGGTTCCAGATTGAAGTACTTTCATCGAAGGAGCTCTTAATGACACCAGTTGTTGTGGCACGCAATAAACAGGAGCGAGTTCTTATTGAACCTTCTATAAATTCCGTAAGGTTAGTTATTAGTTCAGATGTTGACAGTTCTGACGATAAAGTGCTATGTAGGCATTTTTTTTCAAATCGTTTTCCTTTGTCATCTTTATATTTAAGCATTTATTACGGATTTTTGCATCGGGAATGCGAATACGGCCTTATAGCCTTTGTTCTTCATTCCTGCAATCTCTCTTTCTTTCACAGTTGTGTGGAATCGATGCATTTTTCTAATTTTCAGAACTTGAAAATATACTGAAGTTGTCGGAGTAGTTATAAGGATTTGATTTGGACTATACTGAAGTATCTTTCATCGTCTGGTTTTGAGAAGCAAATGCATTTTCTAAGCTTTTATTTACGGCTTTAACAGGGTTTCTACTTCGAAAAGCATTGCTGAATGTATTGATACAGTCGTTCCCAACGGTTTATCGCCTAATCGTGACTAGGAGGTGTTCCTGGATGTTGGGCTGCGATGTACAGTGGGTGGATTCATCCCCAGACAGGGTGTTCCAAGCTGAGAAGGAATTCGGCGTTTCTGTCAGGAAGCCCAGCTAAGAGTGAACCAATACAAATACCAAGATCCACCACTGTCCAGATCCAGATCCTGGTACGAAACTAGTCGCACGGTGGTAAATCTCCCTCTGATCCACAAAGGTGGGCGACTGCCCGTGGTGGTGACGACTTGGAGCAGACGTCGGCCAAACTGACCTCGGGGTTGCAGGGAACCACAATGGCTAAACCAGAAAAACTCCGAAATAATGGAGATTATGCTAGGGCCCGCCTAATCGGTGCGGATGGGTCATCCAAGTATCGAAATATTGATATGTTCATGTTTGTTGACGACATTTAAGTTGGTTTGTCCAATTTTTCGCAGCAATATTGTACTTTTCTGTATCTTTTTTTTCAGAGTTTCTATCTCAATAAAGCAGTCAGATGAAATTGAGCGTATTTTATGTCACAAGTTCACACGATTCATGTGTCAAAGAGCAGATAATTTCTTTATTCTCAGGCGTAAACCTATGCCAGGTAGGGATTTCCAATCAGGTTCAGGCTTTTAAGGAATATCGTGCTGATTTATCAAGCAGCAAGAAGGCGAACTCTTTTTAGGGTATGATATATCCTTTTTAATCACTGCTTCACATACGGAGACCATGTATAAGCACAAATTGGTCGACTTTTTGTTACACTTTATGCAAGAAATTGACAAGGTATGTACATTATGTTCTCTTTAGTTTGTCAAAGATCCCTCTTAGTCTATATGAGAGGTAGATAGTTTTACGGTGATATGCTGTTATATTCATGATAGAGAATGGCCATAAATGGTGAAGCAATAAGTTTTTAGTTTGTGATTGCTTATTTCTCTCTACTTTGACATAGGATGACTCTAAACCTGATATGAGCTTATCATCTGATAGCCTGGTAGCAATCGTTTATTTTATTTTTGATATATAGCCGTGCACAAAAAACTACTAGTTCCATTGCGTTACCAGCTTGTCAGCGTACCCCAGAGTACTGTAAAGTTTCTTTGTTCCTACTAAGTTATTTCTTTTCACCCTACATCTGCTAGGTCTTAATAATAGTAATAAAATGCCTGGAAATTTAACTTGAGGAGCACTAATTGAGATGTGTTCTTTCCAATTCTTTGACTAGATCCTCGTACACTATACTTGCTCTTTTGGTGTTGTTTTTTGTTGAATCTTATCGTTTTTCAGGAAATCAGTGATATGAAGTTAGCGTTGAATGCCAGAGCTCGTGTATCCGCAGAAGAATTTCTGAAACGTTTCAATTAGGCCTGTTCGTTAAACATGGATTAAGCTGGTCGTAACTCGACGCCATCCTCCAACCGGAGTTCCATACATTTTCCCTGAAGTCGCACTGAATACTTCTTTCGAAGTGACATTACTCTGCGTCCCTCAATCTATCTTAAGCCGGTAACCGTTTATTTTACAGCCTTAGTACTGTTATCTTCTCTTAGTGAATTAGCATGTTTTACTTAATAACTTTCATTAGTAAGTCACAGTTCTGTAGTAGTTATAATGCCCAATATCATGAACTTATATGTGATTTTTGTCTGGTTGTCAAAGTCTATGCTTTATTTCCAAACTATGCTCTTTATATACCTGGTCCTGTAATATTCACTAGTGATAATGATTTGTTGTGTTCTCTTTTTTCCTATTTTTTTAGTTCTGTAGGAAATTTTTGGCTAATAGCCGCTGCACTTACAGATGATCGATAAATATTTTTTAAATTAGGTTACCAGATTGTTTTCACGTGGTGGTATATCATCCAAGATTTTTTTTACCCCTAGTGGGATTTTTTCTATTACTGTATGTAACTGGTTTCAAGATGAGGATACTGGTTGTATTTGTCGTCGTTTCCGTCTCCTCAACATTGGAGGAAGTAGCATCAACCGAAAAAAGTTTGTTCACTATCGAGGGTAATGTGCGTTGATCTTAATTACGTTTAAAGTGCTTCTTATGTTTTACGTATTAGTTCACCGTCGTAGATCCATGTTTTGTAAAGCTCTGCTCTGGACCCTAAATATGTGGATGTTTTATGGATGACAAAGTGTCTGCTGTTGAGTTTGTGATAGAGGATTAAGTGTACTAGGGAATTACGGGCACCGTAGTGTTCCTCAGCAAGGAAGGGGATAAAATTTCACTACTATAAAGACCTCAGAGTTTGTCTGTGAACTGTAAATCTCAGGTAGTGTTCCCGCTGTCGGAAATCTCTGATCGCAAATGGGCAGCTAACTCTCGTGTCCTTCTTAATCATGGCGAGTATATAGGATTTGTTCGCGAAGATGGTTCTTTCGTCGTAGATAATGTCGCAAGTGGAAGTTATATCGTACAAGTGAGTATTCCTTGCCATGTAACTTCCTTGAGCATTTCGTTGTTTCTGTGTGGTGATATAATAACATTTACAAATTAAGATTTTGCAAGCCATTTCTTGGGTCTTTCCATAGAGCTAATTGAGAGTTCGTGACCAAACCTAGGTATTTGTACTTTTTCTTCCGGAAACTTCGTGAATTTGTGATTTGTGCGTCATTTTGTATGTTTAAGATACTGAGCGCATGTATATTAGCTTTGGATACAACGTTTTCTTGTGTGTTCTGTTTGACTGTTATCTGTTAAGGTAGAAAATGTTGATTTTGTTTTCGAGCCGATTCGCGTTGACATCACAGCGAAGGGAAAGATTCGTGCCCGGAAACTCTCTGTATTGCAGGTCGAGCAAAATGCACTTTTTCGTCCTTGTTTTAGCAGCACCTTCACTAAATAGCTTTTTTTTTAGCCAAATGTGGTTAACCAACTGCCATATCCCTTAAAGTTGAGCGCACGGGAGCCTACAAAATATTTTCGAAAACGTGAAGAGTGGCGGATCACCGACATGTTGATGAATCCTATGGTACTAATGCTGGTTTTGCCATTGCTGATCATGCTAATAATCCCAAAGTATGTTTTCACCACATTTTTATTTCTTTCGCAGTAATCTCTGGTTAATATACATCGAAAATTCCAGCCAATGAGTCCAATCTCTTTCAGAATTTTTGAAAATTTTGTTAATGACAGTTTTAATAGATTTACTTTACTAATTTAATAAAAATTATGTTGCTAATCTTTTGAGACTATGACGTGTTTTTAATGGCCAATGTGTCGGTGGTTATGTGGGTAAGGTTGTGTTCCACGTAGAACTTTCTGAATAAGATTTCTGAGAGTTAGATCTAACCGAACAATCTAAATTTACCTTAGAGTTCTTGAGTAGCATTTAATTTGCTGTTAAGTGAAAGTAAGGGTAGTATAGTTCAACTATGCATATCTCTGGAGCCTTGCCTGTAGCCATCCAAGTTGTTTAATAAATTGGTGACCAGATGCATTGACTACGATTCGCATACCCGAAAGAAAATGCCTCTTGCAAAGTTGAACAAGAATAAATTGCCTCACTATGAACTATATAGAGCTCTAATCTTTCGATTTTTATGGATCTTTCTAAGGGAACTGTAGGTTGTTTCATTCTCATTCCGTGAAATTATTGCTTTCTAGTGCCTGCAAAGGTTTTTTTTCTTCTGTTGGGGTTCATAATTTGAAGCGTTGGCTATTGAATAAACGGAATTTCGCCCAACACATCACTAAGTTGTTTTTTCTTAATGCTGTGCTTGTAACGGGAAATCTTGGATTTTTTTTGTTTTCTCTGAGTGTGGATTTTGAATAAATTTGGAATTAAAATAGGCTTCTAAAGAAGCTACGTATGCCTTTAGATCTTCTGTAACTCTCATAAATTCCTTAATTTTTTAGTTACTCTAATTATTGAAAATTTATTGATAGTTGTCAAAAAACAAGCCTATTGTGTGAAAGATGCTCATGAGTAGTACCATACCAAATTAGTCATCTCGACCTGTGAGGCCTAGAATGGTTGTTTCGTTTATCGCTTGTAGGATTACATGTCATTTTCTTTAAAGAAATGTATTTTTCAGAATGACCGCTAACGATCCGCAGCTCCAGAAAGAAATGGCAGAAATGCAGCTACCTAAGGTACACCATGAACTTCCGCGTTGGTTTCCTCCCCGTATTTGCTGTTTCGGGAAACTTCCTCCTAATTTTCTTCGATTACGAACATATGAATATGAAGCAAAGTCCAAGGAGTTCATTCCAGTTACATTTTTTCATCCTATGTAAAAGGCGTTTTACTGAAAGCGCACTGTGCTTTCACTGAGTAAGGTAACCTTGTTATGGTGGTTTGTAGTGTTAAATAGAATTTGCGACTCCTTTAGCATCAACTGCCACGACCGACTTTCTATTAACCTCGGCATTGATCAAGTGATTTTCTTCGTATTTTTGTTGAGCAAACGCGAGGTGTTAGTATTCTTTGTTTGAACAAGGAATAGTAACACCTCGCGTTTGCTCAACAAAAATACGAAGAAAATCTTTTAGCATCAATTCAAAGTCCCATAAATCAGCTTCTTTTTTAGATGGACATGCCCGATGTAAGTGAAATGATGGCAAATCTCTTTGGTGGAGGAACATCGAAACCGAAAAAGAAAGCAATTGCAAGTGGACAGCAGAAGAAAAAGTGACGAAATTTTTTTTAGTATGTTCTAAAAGTTGTAAGTAGAAGCCTTTCTCAGCAGATGAAGTGAATAGCGCTGAGTACAAAATTTGTGAAGTCACTTTTTGCTCATGGATTTGAAAACTGTTAAGGTTTCTTCCTAGTCCTTCATGTATGGTATATTTCATTTTGAATCACGCAAATCTCAGTGTATTGTATCATATGTGTAACTTAATGGCCAGAGATGTCTGTGATACCATTTGATTTGCTTTATTACTTCTTTTGAATCTTATCCATCGTTTGCTGGACTTCATTTCTCTTGTTGACGCGAAATCACACCACATTTCGAAGTACAGCTCATTGTTGCCCATGGCAACGGCTTCACTTGTCTAGCCATCCGTGTGCTTACTAGATTTCAAAGTTTTAGTCATGTCTGTTGTAATCCTAGTCGTTATTTGCATTCATAGCCGTGCGACAAGTTTTCTGGCGAGGTTTTTTTTTTTCGCACGTGTTTCTCTAGGGTTTTGACTGCTTCTTTTTACGAAAGGAAGTTTATGTAAAGTCTGTAAACATATTGTTAGCCTCTTATCGCCTCATATTTCTGTAATAGGTCTGCAGAGATTGTTAATAAAACTAATCCAAGTTTGTCACTGTTGATGCAAGCCTGTTGTTCCGTGCGTTTGAACACGATGACTTTTACATAGGCGGGTATCCCACTTGGATGACATTTGGATATGTCTTGTTTGTGAACACCACGGCTATTTCTGTTGCGAAAAGATACACAGTAGTTGCTTCTTAGAAAAGGTCTGTTCAAAACAGAGCTAATGAAGACGATGGTGAAGAGTAACGGGCAGATTATTGATGCGTCATTTATGTCCACCTGGAGGAAATATCACCGAAATTTGAGTCTTATGCAATCGAATTCAAGGGTCTACATGGCGAGAATCTTGTAAGGATCACCAATGTAGGTCGTGAGAATGAGGGCACACTTCAGCTGTCGTGAACTTGTTCGACTTCGCAGTTCTTCTTGATTTAACGCACACGTTAGAAATATAAATTTTACATAAACGAGACCGAAGTTTCTTCAATGTAGTTGCACGCTTTATGGGGAATTAGAAGTTCCTAATCTGACAAATCCAAAGAGGAACTAAGGGCATCGACCTTCACACACGTACATCCCAAGCTGCCTAAAACCAGAAATTCTGAGCTAGATGCTGGAATCTAGATGTATACAGTCTTTGTTCGCAAACTAATGTCTCTAGCTTTCATCGACACTGGAAGGATAACGAAAAGTTTCCCAGAAACAAAAACTGAATCAACAACTTGTGGAACATGTGACCTTCCATTATATCACACACTTGCCTTGCATAGGATTTTCTATGTATCATCTGTGTCACCTGTTGTTCAGTTGATCGCCGAGTGACTCAAACGGGCGCCAATAAATTCTCATCATTTCTTCCATTTCATCCCATCGCGTACAAGGGTAGCGCAGTAGGTTCTCCTCATTCTTGGGACTCGTTGAGCGTCACAGCTTTCTTCTAGGGCTTTCGTGAAGAACTATGACTATCAGGTCAGTGATCTTCCTGCAGAACTTTTGACATCTTGAGGAATTCAGTCACTGGTGGCTCTTGTCAGTCGGTTATCGTTCATATGCATTACGTCTCCGGCCCACCTTATATTCGAGTTTGGCGCATAGAACGGCATCTTTGGTTTTTGATCGTTGGTATAGATCAAAGCTTCCGGTCTTATCCCTTACATTAATGACATGGGGTACTCTTGGCGTCATCCTTTCGAATGCGCGTTCAATAACGCTGAGTGATCTTTCATCCTGCTTACGCAGTGACCAGGTTTCTGACGAATGCACTAAGGCAGGAAGAATTGTGAAGTCGAGAAGGTAGGCACGTAGTCGAGTTTTCTTTGTTCTCTTCAATACGACTTTGATGCTCTTGATAGCTCTTCAAGCCGCTCCCTTCCTTCTGCTCGACTCTGGTGCTGAGTCGTTCATCAAGTTCATTTCTCGACCTAAATAGACAACTGGAGCATTTGGAGACATTCCTTCCGTTGAGCGTGAGTGGGGCGTTAGTAGCCAATCCGTTCTTAAAGAGCATCGTTTTCATGAAATTTAGTCGAAGCCCAGGATTTACACAGGCGTTATTAAAGTCAGCAGGCATTCGTTCCGGTTGGTTAGTGTTTGGTATTATAAGGACGATGTCATCAACAAAGCGAAGATGGTGTAGTTACTGACCTTCGATTTTAACTCCTATGTTGCCCCATTCCGATGTTCCCAGGACGTTCACGACGGTGGCGGTAAGTAATTCTGACAAGATGGTATCGCCTTGAAGTAAGATGAAGTCAATACCAGGATCCACCACAGTCCTACTATCAAATTACTTGCATGGTGGCAAATGTCCCTCTGATCCACAAGGGCTGCGACTGTCTGTCGTGGCGACGATCTGGGGCAGACTTTGACCAGGATGACCTCAATACTCCTGAAAATACAATGGCTAAGCCAGCAGAACTCCGAAAAATGGAGAACCTGCTGGGGTCCGCACAACTAGTGAGGACGCGCCGTCCAAGTGACCAAGTATCAGTGAGCTTTGTGAATCCTTACCCATCCTCTGCAGCTTGGAGCATAGCTTCAGCTTCTATCTCTTTAGGACCTTCTATGGACTATGCTGGCGATTGTCTGTAGCTCATGCTGGTGACAGACGTCTCTTGGTGACTTTCGAACTCTCAGCTTTCATAGCGCTAGCGAGATGTTGAATGAGCCGATCGTATTCATCGTCGATGTTATCATGCTGGGCACCTTCCCAAAAACCGACCAGTGATCCAATTAAATCCATGTTTATGATGGTTTGGATCTCTTTTTGGATTTGGCGGCTTTTTCTCCTTCCCACGAGAAATGCGGTAGGCAAAACCTTCGATTTACTATAATGCGGTCTATTTTGCTGTGGTACTCTACATTGGGAAACTCCCACTTCCAGTACTGAGAGTGGGCTTCTGGAACTACGAGTTATTCCATTTTAATCCGTTGGTGACAATGTAACATTTTTCAGATGTTCGTATCAGTTCATTCTTGTCGTTAAATTCTTCAATGGTGACTATGAAGAATGCATGTCTTCTCTGTCAAACTTCTCCAAGTTATATAGAACGCTTCGTCTTTGTCATAGCTTGATGTAGGTGCGTAGAGGACGAAGGTTGTTAAAGTTGGTATTGATCCACATCAACTCCTTTCTCTACTCTGCTATTGCATGCTCCAAGAAACAGTTCTTCTCCGATATTATTTTTTAGAGGGAGTCGCCGTCTCGCCTCAGCCAGTCCGATGACATCGTACCTCATCCTTCTTTCATGCATGATCAAGTATTCAATCGAGGACTCAGATCCAAGAGAGAGTGCATTGTAGGTACAGATCATCACCTTGGTCCTTTGCGACTTAGCCAGTCTGAAATGCTCTGAAATTTTTCCATCCTTTCTGTACTCGTTCTGTCCAACGTAGCCGTATCATGCGCTATTTCAGGGCCAGTGGAATGAGACTGGCCTGTCTTACTGTGTTTAGCATTTGATGCTCACCTACAGTTTACTGAGCTCTGGACATGTTGACTGTGCATACTCAAGCGCGTTTTGCCGGTCTTTCCCATAGTAGATGTGGAACTCATTTGTTAGAAACGGCTTCTAACCGCCTTCCACATTCTTACCCATCACTTATTTTGGGGCGTTTCGCTGAATGGGCTCGTAAAGTACAAATCGCACTGTGGAGAACACACTCAGGTATTTATACATGAACTCCGTAAACACAGAAGATATGTGTCAAATTGGCGTTGTGGGAGCAGTAATTCATGTTCTAGATCAGTCCGCTCCTCAGGAAAGTATAATGTCGTTTCTAGTGAGCGATTAACTCCTATCCGCCATCTGAGGGAGCCCTACGTCGCCTCGCAAGTAATAGGTTTGAAATCCCTCTATGAGGGAGGTTTGTGATTTGTATGTAAAGAAGAAAAATCATATGACCACAATAACAGAAATCCAAAATGGGTATACCCGGTGTCCATAGCCATTTCATGAAAAAGTCTGAGCTTTTATATTATTTATTTGCGTTGAATTCTCCTTAATTCCTGAAGCTTCGTCAGAAATATTGTCGCTTCATAGTTTTCTTTTCTCAATGGCTATTTTTTTCACTATGCACAATATCAAAGCTTTGCGAAGTAGTTTTTACCTACTCACCCTTCAGTCTGTATGAGAGCTGTTCTCACTCGCAATACTCCCCTCATTACTTATATACCTAGAGTTTTTGTGTGGTTACATTCGGCTACGGTATCGCAGGGTTGGTCGTTAAACAGGATAATCCACGGGTTCGTTTACGGCTGTCGCATTTCTATGGAAAAAAAGGCGGCATGCCGCCCTGGCAATTGCGCAACTAGGCCAGAAACTCGATAGAACAATAGCACGACGAACTCGTCAACTGAGCATCATCCTTACCAGGAGGTCGTTGCGACAGATGGAGTAACCTCGATAAATGCGGTTCTCCTTAGACCAGCGTGTTTACTTAATTTGTATGGTCAACATATTTAAAAAAATTTAGTAATACCGTATTTTTAATTTGTCATAAGGCCCGCCAATATTTCAAAGGTGGAAAAAATTGAAGAGAAATAGCTTTTCAAAGGTTGCATCTCTGCAATGGAACATAATAAAACAGAAAGCGCCATCAAATTGTTTTTGTCGATAATGCAGATAGCAAATTTCAGGCTGAGAAGGGTCGAACCCAAACAACTCACTATCTGTGCAGTTCTTTTATACCTAATGCTTGTTTAAATAATTCCGGCTGTTTGCCATTGTGATTCAAAAACTCCACACATTCGAATGCGACAAATGGTCCGAGGGCAGTGCAACGATGCGAACGAATTCTCGTCAATGTCTTGTGATCGATTACGGTAGTCGAGACGAAAGATGCCGACAATCGCATCGTTCCCACCACTAAACGAGAATACTAGTAAGATTACGGTAGTTGGAGACGAATAAATCGTCCAAAACCGATATCTTTCATGTGTCACAGAGTCGTATGGGCTTGCTTGAAACCGAAGAAAAAAACCTGACAACTTAGGGCAAGCACAAGGTTGTTCACTAACTTATCGGTACCATAAAGAAATTAATGAGGAACCTTTTTTTAACTTCTGATTGTGTGAAACTCCGCGTAGTATGATGCTTGAATTGCATACCACTGTAAGAACGTGAATGACTATTCACTAATTGTACCTTCATCCTCGTTGTACTTTTTCGGGATTTTGGAATGAGATTTACACCAGCACTAAATGAAAGTAACTGAATGATGTAGTGATGACGAATTTACAAGAATGGTCGGCAAAAATTTGTCCTGGCATTGCCTTTGAAACTTCGTACAACTGAATCTATAGGATCCATGAAGAAATGTTCACTAACACGTAAAACTCCTTGAATAATCTAGGAAAATTCGCAGAAATTCATTTTTCTTCTTCCAGGAAGTCAAGCGCAACCGTTGATATCTGTATCACCTGCAGACCCATTCGAAGATGGGCTTTTTCTCCTCCCTTTCGCAGATTCTTGGCGTAGGGCGACGACAAGTAAACGTTATAGTGGTCGGTCTGGATAATTCCGGAAAGGTATCCTTAATTGACAGATTGATTTTATAGGTACTATTTTTGATCAGCTGTTATTGCTTTTAATATCATACTTAACCTTCACATTTTAATATCATACCTTCACATATGTGATAAAACCTTCAAAAATGTAACGATAAGATGTTATAAAGGACATAATTCTTTTGGAAACGTCGTCGTTTTCTTCGAACCAACTCTGCTGATCTTCTAGCCATCTCTTGTCCATTCATGGCTAGTATCTCATCTATTATAGTAAAGAAATACGTTTGCACTTGCTTGAATCATGAGGGCGAACTTCTGACTTTTTGTTCCGATTCTGCCGATGTAAATCAGAAGATGCCTGCTCTAACGCTGTGTTAGTTGTGCACTTCGTCGTGGCTGGGATGCATTGAAGGGCAATGACGAAGCCTTGAAGTCTGTTTTCTTGGCTCGAAAATATCCTCGTCGCTGACATCGTTGAGAAGTCTAGGGGAAAGAATGGTTGTTGCTTGTATTTTTTCGACCCCAGTTTTGAGATTCTAGAGCCAATAAATAAATTCTTTTTAACAACGGTGTTTCATAGCACGCAACGCAGCGATAGGCCTGAAAACCAATTTTTATTTAACTTTGGTACAAATAATCAATATTTTCTTCAATGATCGAGATAGTTGTCGTTCAAATAGGTATCTTTTTGTTCGGCTATTTCCAAGATTGCAAGGAGAATCGGCTCATCCAGCATTCTACGACATTCATAAAGAAGGCAACAATGTTCATGGCGTACCCGATTCCATAAGTGAAAAGCTTAAAGACTTCAGTGGGCAATGAATGCAAGGAAAACCTATTGCAAGAATCCTGGGATTCGCACAGCAGATATGATGATGGGTCATCCGACAAATAAAATGAACTACCATCCAATTTGAGCTGCTGTTTTGGCAACAATGCGTCCTGAAGAAGTAAGAAAAACAATTAACAAAAACAACAAAAGAAAAACAAAGTAAGAAATTGGTCAGCAGCCCTGCTCTATAAAAGCGCACTAAAAAGTGATGGCCTTCATTCAAGCAGTCTTCTTACCTCAGTGTTTTAAGAATGTACAAATGTTTAACTCTTCCTCTTGTTCACTCTGCTGGTCTTCATCCGTCATTGTCAACTCATTATCAGGAGGCTGCCCATAACATATTATGCAGAAGAACAGCGTACGCAGGCATCTGGTGCTTTTCTATAAATTCATAGAATATTAATCAAGGTGGTATCACATATTCATCCCATTTTTACAGTTTTTTTTCTAACGAGTGGCTAGTTCTCTTCGGCCAAGCTTTTTGCGATACCGCATCCACATCGGTAAGCGGTTTCCACGGTTTTTCGTACACGCTATGATTGAATCGATTCAATTCAGATTCTGATTTCACGAAATTGGTCATCTAAGGTATAAGAGGAGAGTGATATTATAAAATAAGGCTTGATCAGTTGTCCTTAAAAATGCGATTTCATGCACTAGAGTTGTAGGTTGTTGGTACAGTGTTATAGGTAGATATTACTATTTTCCTACCACCTCTCCATTGCGTTCTTTTGGGCATTCTGGTTGGGTTTTCCTGGTTGGATATATCTTGTTTATGTCTTGAAAGAGCAATCCCAAAAAGTCTTTAGGCCATCCCAAAGGTCGATGGTGTATATTGTGGGTCGGAAAAGACTCACTGTCTAGATTTTCTTATTTTTCCATTCCTAACAATTTGAAGATGGGCTTCTGGTGTTGTTTGGACATGAGGAAACAATAGCTTTTCAATTACGGTGACAATACAATCTGCATACAAGTAAACAGGGTCCATGTAGCTATGTATGTGTTCTATAAAAAGTCAATCTTTTTTGGGATGAGCAATGTTGCGGAAATATAGAGACCATCCTCTGAATCCACCTTCACCTCAGAAGGAGCATAAAGTTTTCATCCGGCGACTAACCCCGATCCTCGACCTATAAATTCTCCACGAAGTTAAATGGTTGACCGTATTGAATGCTACCTTACCCAGTTCGTTTTTTCCTCTTTTTCTAATGAAAATGCAGTAATGTTTCAGTAATCGCCACTATAAATCTTCTTGATATTTTATTACTACAAAGGTGGGAATGACATATCTGCATTGCTAGGTTAAAAATCTATTCAGCACTGCTTAGGAATCAACTGGAATGTAGATTATTCTTTTAGACGACAATGTTGAATTATCTACGAACTCCGGAAACGGCGACAACGCAAATTGCTCCAACAGTTGGATTCTCAGTTGTGAACTTCATCACAAACAACTTCAGCTTCACCGCTTTTGACATGGCCGGCCAAGGTTACAGATGTATCTCAGTAATTTATTGATTTCACTGACGAGGGCTTAGTTGATCAATATGAAGATTGACCATTTAAGTATTGGTAAGTCTTTAGATGCATAGTTCAATAGGTTCCCCTTCCTTCTTTTCTTTCGTTTTTCCTCTTTTTCTGTCTCCTATTCGCCTTTTTTCAGTTCATTCCTTGCTCCTTTGGACCTGTCCTTCCTTGATTCCGTTTATTCCACTCGTTCTTTCGTCTTCTCTCCCTTTTCGTTCATTCTGAAAAGTGTTTGCCGTCAGCATGTTTCCTATTTCGTGGCTTTGTCGATCGTAAATCTGTACCCGTTGAGATTGTAAAATTTTAGCTTTAGGATACCCAAATGGCGATTTGCTTATGGCGATGGCAAGTTTTCAACAGATTTACGATCAGTGCTTGTTAGAAAAAATAGTCGCCATGAGAGTAGAACGAAGATTTCCACCAATGTACTCCATTCCGTAGTGGCCATAGTAAAAATCCGAAGAGTTGAACAGTAGCGAATATTCGAGTTAATGTTTAACACAGTGGTTAGAGGTGCCCATCACTATACACATAGTCGTTAATACGATTCCTTACCGAGGTAAATCAGGCCTTCCATCTGTTAGGGGTGGCGTTGAATTGTTAGCAAACAAGTTTATGAGGATAAAATGCCGATTTGATACAGGCATAGGTCCTAGAAGCTACTGAATAGGCCAAATATGCACTCAGTTGCCTCTAGTATCGTACGAGTAGAATCGAGTGCATGGTACATCTCTAGAGGATGGATCAACGCCGAGCGCTTATCTTTTGATTGCTTCAAAATATCAAACCATCAAAAAAGTTAGACATCAACTTTTCTATGTCACCTTTCTCTCTTCCATCATCCTATCGCTAAATGAAATTTTTTAACATGTACACATCACTTATCACTTTTCAATTATTTAACGATACTCGTTAAGGAAAGTACCGTAACCTATGGGAGACGTACTATGTGAATTCGCAAGGGGTGATTTTTGTTGTCGATAGTGCGGATCGACTACGTATGGCTGTAGCCAGAGACGAATTATGGATGATCCTCGATCATAAAGATGTTGCCGGACGACCGGTGAGCCTCTTTAAATGAAGCGTTCTTCAGTTGTTTTTAGAATCTCTTATTTTTTCCACCATTATCCTTATTTTGCTATTACGTTTTCAATTGGTTTTTCCTATAGTTATTCCACCGTGAAAGAAGGGCAGGCAGTATGTAAAAGTTGGGGCATTTACTTTTAATAGTTGCTCTTCTATTCTAAAATTATATACTATGCTGTGTTCCCCGTTTTTCTTTACGATCCGCTTTCCCATTTGGTTTTTTCTGGCATAAAAGGCTTCTCTCGATCTTCTTTCTTTCTTTATCAAATATGTTGGTAAGCAGATTAATCAGTGAAATCGCAAGAAAACATTTCATTCAGGTTCCGATACTAGTTTTGGCAAATAAAACGGACGTAAAGGATGCGATGACATCGGCGGAGATTTCGACCAGTTTGGGTATCTCTACAGACTTTTGACACAGGGCTCACTTATTAAATTTTTTCCTTCTAGGAGCACAAACTTTATTTCATCCTAAATCTACTTAAAACAAAGCAACTCACTATATCTTCTTAGCTTTTCGTTTTTAGAAGGTTCCTTCTACTTTCTTTTTTGTTCATTGAAAATATTGTCGAATACAAATATACTGATCTCTGGATAAAATGAGTCCACAGCAATGATTGCTGTCTTCTGAGTGATTACCATCTCCATTAATTTTCTATCAAAACTTTATTAACGTATGAGTTCATTGTATGAGAAAAGTAATATTACGATATTTTTTGATTTAGGATTGGATTTAATCCGAGGCCACAAATGGAATATTCATGGCACATGCGCCCTGAACGGCGCGGGTATTCAACGGGCGCTCGAGTGGTTGACGAAAGAGATCAAATCCTATTTAGACTCACAAAAATAATAAAAAATAGTAGATGAGGTATTTTTTGTTCTGAAGACTACTGAATGGAAGCTAAAGTATTTCATTACAAAACCGACCGAAGGAGATTATCTGCACTTTTATAAACTTAGCACCATCAATTTTTCTCATTTGAGTTAGGAAGTGGGTAAACGTATCAGCAAGCTGCAAATGCTTCAGTCATCAATTACCTAGTACTGTATCGGCTTTCATTGTAATAGTATCATACAGTTGTTTATTTTTAAGAATCTTTGACGGATTGCCGCTATTTCGCCGCACGACACTTATCGTAATCCAATCCGCCCTGTGTCCAGCAGTGATTTGCCTGAAAAGCTAAGAAAAACAATGGTGGTGGACGATTTGAGTAAAATGAGCCAAAATGGATTAGAAATCTAACACTCAGTTGATCGAACTCGAGCACAAATCCACAAATAAATCATCAAAGCTTGTAGGTACGAAATTCCACGTCATTATTTAAAAGTACGATAGTCTAAGCCGCTGCAGCCGTTGGATCGTCGTCTGTATCACTGTTACTAACGTAACTTCGAAGGTTACTGCAACATGACCACCGCTCAGAAATTTCTAGTTTGAAAATGCTTCAGCTCTTCAGCATTGTGTATGATCGAGTGGAGAAGTAACGCAATTTAGCGCGTCGCTGGTGGCCGGCGATCAGCTGATAGCGGTGTTTCAGATGGTTACGTCATCAGAGTTTACAAAACTTGCCATTGACCTTCTTTTATCAAAAATAAAAAAGGAAACGGCAAGCAATGAGCACGGTATTCTATCGGATTAACAGCAACTTCAGATCAAAAGATAAAAGAGTAAAGGTCTCGGCCTTGATAAATCCATGAAGGATGCGCCATGCACACCACTTCATTAAGTATCGTTAAAGGCGACTGCGTGCATATTTGGCCTATACAATGACTCGAGGTGCTACCGATGCATCAAATCAGTGCTACTATCCTCCCAGACGAATCTGGTACCAATTTGCGGACACCGGCGGGAAGGAAGGCTTGGTAAGCCGGGAGTGCTACATCAAACCAACGCCTAGATTTGTATGGTGGTGAACGTCAAACCAGGGCGCTATGCGTGCAACCTTAGATCAATATGGTAAAGTCTCAGTTTTCTCAAATCAAGGAATTTTCGCGTTTTCAGCCTTTTTTTTAGCTTACAATAAAAACATGGACATATAATTATTTTCGATCACATCTAAACAAACGTGTGATGTTTGGAAAATTTCTAAAAAAAAGTTTAGTTCCACTAAGACGCTGTATCCACACATTATGTAGATGTGCCTTCGAAAAAAATTTATTGATTGATTCTATGGACCGATAGGAAGGCAGCAATCGATCGCTCTCCTTGCTTTTCCTACCGATTACTCCACATATCGACGAAGAAAACCATATAGCGGTGCCAGTTCCTCCCGGGTCATAATAAACAGTTATTGAAATGAGAAAGCTACTACGAGAAATTTTTTTTGGCATAATGGCAACAACGGCATTTCTAAAAGTTGAAAGATATGGCACAAAAAATATGGTCAAAAATCATGTTTATCATCTATGAACTTGTTAATCACTGGATGAACTCCAGTAAAGTTTCTTCGCACCTACTCCAACCTTTTTAGGCCTGCTTAGCCAGTTCCGTTTGCTTGAGGAACACAAAAAATATCAACTTTTGGCATAATGCTCTTTTTAATACGTCCGACGAGTATGAGACTTTGTCGAGGTCTATCTTGGTGAAAACTAAATCTTAGGTACTCCTTTAAAGAAAATGTCGAACTAAACCATTGTTTGAAGCGTTTAAAGGAGGACGAAATGCAGCTGCAAATCTCTGAATTCCTTCGGCTTGCTAGTCGGTAACATCCACCAATCACGACGAAAACGTAAACCGTGGTGTGAAGAAAAGTTTTGTAACATTCTTATAGCCATGTGTATGCTGGGATATGAGCAAAACTCAGAGCCTCAGTTGAGCTTCATGCTGGCGTTCACGCTTATAGAGGGCTCATTTTCTATCCATCACAGTTACCGAAGCTCTTCCTTTGTCTTTCTTTCAGCCAGTTTTTTACTCTAACGGTGCTAGTAGCAATCACCCGTAGATGGAGATGATTTAGGAGCACAAGTTAGCATAATTTGTAATGATTATTATTTATTCAAAGACATTTTAACTGATAATAGCACATGGAAGTGAATTTTTGAAGCAACCAGTTTCAACCGAAACAAATCCAGAGCTATCCAGCTGGATAAGTTACCGATTGACGGACTCCATCCACAGTATGGTCAGTAATAAAACTCACGGCTAATGATTGATGATGGTGTTTGATGTGACCGCACCCCAGTTTTCTGGAGCAGATCCTAATTCGTCGCCAATTGCGCCAGTGACAAGAACAAGGTCGCCCCACAACAACGAACTGAGCACTTTTTAGCACTGTTGCTCAGTGCTCAGCATATAAACACGTGATGTCACTTCGAAAGTCAATAATGATTTTTGTAGTCGTAGAATATGTGTGCACCTGTGTGGAACTCGCCTAAGTACTGCAAGTGTCAGCACAATTCTTACCTGACTGATAATTTTCCAGTTGGGCAAAGTGGTTTTCTTGCTGAAGTCTCGAGACTGCCGCACGTAGGTTTTTACTGTCGGCACCATTTGAAGTAGTGGGCAGCTATTTGTCTATCGAAGTGACTGAGGTTTGCTCCGTTGTGACTAGGATTCCTACAAGGCATCTTCCACTATAGATTTAGTTTTAACTTCCATTTACTCCAAGTTCGCCTTTAAAAAAAAGTAGGAATAAGATAAATAGAAAAATTGCCCATAATTTTGAAGTAAATAAACGACAAAAAAATTCCTCACTTCAATGAACTTAAGGTCTGGTGACTAACTTAAGATTTTGGATTTCGTCGTTTTCACTAGAGTCTTCTCTCAAAATTAAACTTATCATCTCCCATAAGCTTTAGGCTATCTGGTAGAGAATACAACTTTGAACATTGACAAAGGAATCCAAGCAGTAACTTGTGGATTGCATGGTTACTACGAAGGATTCACGTAGGTTTGATAATGGGATGATGGTGATAAAAAAGACAATCCCTGAGTTAATTCTTATTCGTTTTATTATGACGAAATAAGTTGATATAATATGAAAAAACCAGATAAATGTGCACCGATCTGACCTCGAACATCATAAATCAGTTGCGCCAACAGAATACCAATCTTATTCCGTTAGTCAATTCCTTTTATTGTACCGCTTTACAAGCAAGCTGATAAGGCACACTGTTTACGGTAGCGTCACCATCAACTCGTACTGTCGTGTGGGAGTCGAATTTGACCGAGCTGGTGCACCCTATGATCAACTCCTTCTGATGCGGGATTCCTTGTGCAGCTGTCAAATCCGCTCTGATTCTGTGATCACTCGATCGGCCAACCAGGTGGCATTGAAAGTCTTTTGAGGAGATATATAATATGTTTTGTTAAAACAGGTACCTGCCCTGCTAGCGTTAATTATGCTATTCTTTTTATACTTTGTCTTCTTTGAGGAAAACCACGCACGAAATTTTTTTGGAGAATCCAATTAAGACTAAGCTACTCAAATTCTAAGGTTTTCCTGAACTGTTACTCATAATCTACTTCATATTAATCCCTTCGTAACTTTTTCACTTACCTTACTTATGTCAATAACCTAAAATTGACCGAGATTCACGTGTCCCTAAGTCCGGATGGGTCGATCCCTTAGGCGCCCTTGGGCGATGACCTGCCTAAGTGCCATGCCATGCCTGTGCGCGCCCGCTTCCCATTGGCAAGTAGGCGTGGCATGAACTTGTAGTCCTTTAATAAATCTGCTGCCCCTTGCAGAACTCCTATGTCGTTTAGGGCTCTAGTACCTGTCATTATGAGCCAAATTTTCTAATGTTTCAAAATTTTTGTATCGTTTTATGTTCCGTCTGCAGCGATTTTTAAGCGCCAAAGTTTCTAACAATTTGAGTCTCGTTATATTGGCGGAATACATCGTGACTTTGGCGTCCTTTGCGCTTAATGATCTTATGAGCATTGTTTAAAATTTAGTCTTATTCGTTTATATGGCCTTTATGTTCGTATATTAGAAGCGATTGGGAAAATACTGTATGCCATCGAACAGTTAATTGGTGGTCCTTCAATTATTTTCGGTTCTTAATAACGCACTTCGGCTGCATGCATCTCTGCTTATGTTACACTTCGTTAGTAAATGTCTGTTTAAATCTACACACTTCTGCCAATAATTTATGACTTTCCATCCTAAAAAATCCCAATGTTTTGGATGTTACGATTCCTGAAAAGAGGCTTTCGAAGGCGCCTTGGTTGTCGAAGAATTTTCCTTGAACTCCGTTGTACTCACAATCCTTTTCATTCAAATAGAATGTCCGTTGAGAGTAAAGAGTAGAAGAATGCATAACTTTGATGAAACTACGAAAAGGAAAGTTTGAAACTTCTGCAGAAATTTGGACATTTTACATCTGTTTTCTGAATTTATTTTACTAGTTGACACACACGTTTCTGGCCACACCTAAGAAGATGAAATATGAGAGAATTTCTGGAAAAGAAGTTTGTTCTCGGTTAGTCGCCATATTCCTGCGAGGTGTAAAGGTGCGAGGTGGGAATGAAAATTTACCGTCCTAATTCTCGATCATGGAAGAATCCAGACGGGACCTTCTGCTAATCCTTTTTGTTCATGACTATTCAATAACGGAGCGAAGGATCTTGAACGTGGCGCTTCCTTCCTCTTCCAAGATAAAGGGGCATTGAAACGGTAAAATTTATGCAGTTTTTTTCAATTTTTTGCAACAAATTTTCTCTTGCAAAAACATTTAAGCTGGAAATGTTGGATTTCCAGTACGGAAAATACTGTTATAAATCACCTGTACCACCTGTAATTCCGTCAATAGTTGGGCAACTGTGAGCTGATTTGACCTAGATGCATTTGCACCCACTGTGTCCATCCCATTTTAGACCTTCTCACTTGCCTAGGCTCTTCGCCGGGTCAAGAAAACGTCATATTTTTGCTGAACAGGCTGTTTTTAGTAAGGACGTAGCTACATCATATTGCTATTGATCGAATAGGAACATAATTTGTGACAATATGCGTAAGAATTTATAATAATCAAAGTAAAACTTATTCCGTTGTCAATAGTCATCGAATTACTTTAAAACTTTCACTTTTCGTTCTTTGCATCTCATCGCATTTAGTTGAAAAGGAATCTTTTATAGTTCCCAAGATCGACTTTCTCTTAACCTCGGCATTGGAATATGAAAGGCATTGGAATCTTTTATGTTCATACTTGTCACCAGTTTACACTATGTAAAGAGACTGGCGAACTCCTAGCCTAAGTGGATTTCCTGCAGGACAATTTTTTGTGTAATACTGTACTGGCTTTGGCTTAACCTTGGCATGAATAATCAATAAATTTCTTTGGATTGCTTAAGTGGTAAGCTAAACACCTGTAATGTTAGGATCTCCTGTGTTTCTAAAAGAGGATCACCAACATTGTCTTAATTAATTATAATACTTGGCCACCATCACCACCTTCTCAGTCGTGACGTTCGGCCTTTTGTCCTGGGATAGGCGTTGTCTTCGAGAACACCGACAATCCTCTCAGGATTCAACGAAGCATGGGTGAACGGCTGCTCCCAGACGAACCGTCACCGCAGCCGCCGCTGTCCCTCTTTCCTTCTAAACACCACACGTCAGTCAGACCGCCTCTACTAATCCCCTTTTGTTGTCGCTGATTAGCATTCTCATATGCATGAATCTCGGCTGGAGATATTTGTATAGGTGTGGACGTGGACTCGATATTATTGCAATTTATGCGAGGTCGTGACCTTCTCAAAACTTCGTCGTCACCGAAGTTCTTCCTCACATGCTCACGTAACTAATCCCTGCCTAGAATTACGGTAGCCATAGTATCGAGTATTGCTTTAGTTAGTTGTTGCATGACGTACGATCATAATATCCTTGCATATATGGTGTTCATATTTTCCAATATGGTTCAAATCTAAAGGCACGAAAAAAAGAACAGGAGCACCTTGCCTTGTTTCTGTCTAAGGAGGTTTTCGTATAAACCTGCTTTTGATGAAAACCTATTGATTGGTAGATTATTAGTGTGGAAGCCCTGGTACACACAATGGTATTGTGGCAGGATCAGCAGAAACAGGTGTAGGAATCGTCTGAGAGAGGTATTACACACCTCACGCCCATAACGGTATTCGTTATTTTTGATATTTTTACATTGCCTGTCATCATGTCAACTGCGTGGACCCCAGCACTTCTTGCATTCGACAAGGAAAAGTGCAAAGATGATAGATAGCTTATTACGGTTATAATTCCACTTAACATCCATACAATTAGGACTGAGATGTTAAAAAATGTAAAGGAAAGTAATAAGCAGAACTGAAGAAATAATAAAATTACAGGAATAAAGAATTGCAGAAAAATGCGTTTGGATACCGAAGTGAAAGAAGTCTCGGCCCCATTGGTCTGGAAGTATTTAGTTTTGTCCTTTTACGACTATCTACCGCTAGAGAACAAAAATCGCCGAAGTGGTACTTTGACTTCATTCGTGGCTGATCCTTTTTCCATAGAGAATCTATTTTTAAAAATACTGCAGTGCTTTACCACAATAGCGTGCAGCTTTGACCAAAGTTTCTTCCTCGACAAAAATTATTACAGTGCTTCCATTAAACAGCAATGCTAGTTAAAGATGGTATGATCGTTATCACAGGGGTACTAGTACATGTAAGTGTTGGGAGAAATTTTGGCGGAATAACAACTACCTGAGCATAAATTCCCCTCTTTAAGTCATAAATATGAGCAAAAATGGAATTTGTTAAAAATAAGGACCTCAATGCTGAACATGCAAAGCCTTTGTACCTGGATAACTTTCTACTGGATGTAAGAGTTTAGTTTCAGATGTCAACGGTAAAAACAAATGGAGGTTTCTGGTCTTCGCGTATGATTCCATTCTGGTGCCAACCACACAACGCAGCCGATTTCACAAAGTGAGTCTTCTCGCACGCATTCTAAACAAGGCCACAGCAAGCTGTCAATCAATTCTTCTCGGGACAGATTTACATTCAACAACAGTCATTCGCTTAGAAAATACCGTAAAAATTTCATAAAGTTGCCATCACCAGAGCAACAAAAGAGGGCCACGCCCATTGTGGGCGACGTGCGTACTGTAGCTGCCGACCAAGCGCGGTGACAACGGTTCAAGCGGATGGGCGTGGCCACAGCCGTACGCAAGAATTTGCCAGGAATCGTTGTCTCCCTTTTCCAGTGCTACAGACGATAAGCACAACATGCTGCATCAATCGACATTTGACGCACTTCCCACACAAGGATTCTACCCGCCCAGATGGCCTGCACCGCCTGTGCAACAGGACGCCTATCCCGAACCTCCACGTTGGACATCCGAACACGTCTACCCGATGTTTCCGTTTGTCCAGCCAGAGGTAGGAGATGTTTAGTGTCAGGAATCTATTTCTTTCCTTTCTTATTTAACTCTCTTAGTGATTTACTTATGACTGTTCTGAAGCACTTGTGTAATCATTAGATTCATACTAACAGATTAGCAAAAGAAAGAGAAAGACGAAAAAACATTGGAAGTCATAGTCTTAAAAAAAACTACTTCTGCTTAAGCGATGGGTTCTGAGAATCCTTAATACTGTGGCTCATTTGGATTACCACTGCTTCATCTAGAATGCCAAGAAGGAGCAAATTAATCACCTTAGTTTTTTCATGATCCATCAATAAAAACTATGGTCAGAATCCATCCGCGAATTTTATTGATTAAGCCATATCCTTCTGATCCTTTTCCGTCGACATCTATGGCTGGTCCTACCGACTATAAAATGAACACCTTCTATCCGAATACGATACTTGGTTCCAGCTATTCGGCAGACTACAACCAAGTGAGCTGTCCTTCAATTGTTAAAAAATCTTTTGTCTTTTAGGTTGGATGTGACATCATTTTTTTTATTGTCAGTGACCACTGTTGTACTTTATTTGAGTTATGATATTTATTGTTGACACGGTTTACGGCGCATCACAATGGAGCGTTACGATTTCAAGACCTTAGACCTTAATATTTGACTTGCTGAATGGCATATGCATTCAAAGAAAATTGTTTAGTGTTCCATAGTACTATGGATGGTTATTGATTTTCTAGGCAATTCAATGGAAAATGCCGTCAATGAAACCCGCGAAGCCGACGGTGACGAATCCACCATATCGCACCGGGCCTGGAACAAACAGTGAGTACAATAGTTGAAGAACTTTGATTGATGTTTTTCCGAATATTATTGATCTTTCCGTTCTTTAATCTCAATGCTTAATTTTAAGTGAATATGGCCTTTCGGAATTTTTTCGTCCAAAAAAGATTTGTGTGATATTTTTGTTACTATAACTTCATTTACTATAGCATTAATTTCTTTCGTCAACTATATTACATTTTGGTATTGTAGAGTAGCGAATCAAAAGTTCTCATTTTTCTGTGCTTCTCTTCCTTCTTTCCTCTAGTCTTCCTCTGGATGTGAAATGGATGACACAATGGGATAACGACTACCCCAAAAATCTTAGTTAACCGTAGGGAATTGAAGTAAAGAGATTTATAACACAGCATTACAGTACGCGCTTGTTCTAAATTACAGACACAGGTCCGCATATTTTTCTATCACCGTTATAGCACATCGTGTAAAGTTTAGATTTTCAACAACATTATATAATTTTTGTCACCTAGAGTAGGGTATGAAAGCTTTCGGCAGGAATTATTTCACTTTTTTCTGTTACCGATAAGGCATTTGCTTAGTGGCAGCGTAGTGGTGGCACGTTATCAGCTCATCAAATGTATCAGCTACTCCATCGGTGACTGATAAGCGCTGGTAAGTGCCCGTCTAACTGATAATAGGTGGTAATCGATTAGTGATGCGCGACAAGACGTGTTTATATTGCCCTTGCACACTTATAACCCAATCAGCTGCCGAGCTTAGCGAGCGACAAAATCAATAGGCATTAAATGAATAGCCTGTTGCGCGAAGCAATGTCAAAGATTTTCAAAAATGGATAAATTTTCGATAGAAAAGGAAACATGGTGACTGTAGATTTTTTCCAGTTTTTTTTACGACCCATCTTTCACGTCTACTGTGCGGATCTCAGTGCGTCGCACATTCGGTTTGTCTCCTCGCATCCATCATCAACCACCAAGGTCTTCCAACTCTTATTTGTGGCTTCGGCTGCTGCTTGAGAGTTTTCGTTTCATCTTGGATGCCATGGGACGCTGGTCGACTCGGCTCTCTCTGAAATCCTGGGAATGTCGGGTTAGAGCGTTCCCACTTGGAAATGCAGCAGTGATTTTTTCCCCAGACAAGTCCGGTACAATCTTCCGAAAAAGCAACACGGCGTATTCCTTCTTGATTTAAGTTTACTAATTCAAATGTGAATTATCTCTTAATTGTCGTGTAGCAGTGATTCTGTGCCCTCCATCCTTATCCTTTTCGTCATTGGTATGACTAGTAAAGTAGTCGGCTTACTGTAGCCGCTCATTGAAACAACAAGTGTTCACTTGCGCGATGCTAAGGCGCAATACTGCTTGTCTGTTTGTGGCGTGGTTACGAAGTTTTTGTATAGTCTGTCAAATACCGTAACGTGGAGGATTTTCAGATGTTCGAGTGCGAACATCGGACAAATATCGTATGGTATATTCCGATTACCAGCGACTTGAATTAGAAAAGGTAAGCGATAGAAAGTAAGCAGACCGAAATAAAAATAGCCAGCATTAATACGATATGAGTGCTGTTTGTTCGTCGTTTTAGGAATTTTGTACCAGTACATTTGTGACATCGGAACGTAAAGCTGAGCTATCCACGATGTTGAACCTTACTGAACGACAAATTAAGATTTGGTTTCAAAATCGGTAGGATTTCATTTTCAACAGATTTGAAAATGTAGTAAAAATTTGCAAGAAGTGTTCTTAAATTTGTCGATGTCCTTACTGACCACGTCGTAAAAATTTCTGGTATGAATTTGGGTTCTCATTACGTCATACAATAACTCATCATCGTCACCTAACCTTTTAAGTTACCGCTGACCGTACGTCCGATTACGTACAAAGGCAGTAGCATATTGAACAGCAGTTGCAGTGGTTAGTGCTTGGGCACTTTATATTAGGTTAATGTTTTTAAAAGAGAGTTAAAATACGGTATCCAAACCCATTCTTCTTTCCCTATGGAGTTTGCCGAGAAATGCTCATTGCTGGCATAACAGTAGATAATGCTTGTGGTAGAAGCATTATTTCTTACCCGTTCATGGATTAGTCACCAACCTTTGATGTGATGTAGAATGAAAAACTTTTGGCAGCAAGTAGGGCTTGCGATTATCACCGCTATTGAAAAAGGCCACTGGGCACTTTTTAAAAAGTGGCATTTCCTTTTACTGTGATAAGAATCGGAAGAGCTTAGTAGATGTCACTCTTTGCTGCGGAGTTTTTACCAACAAAGGCATATTATCGTCGTGTAAAAACGACAAAACTTTCGGTGATCTTATGAAAACGTACTTCGCAGAGATTAAACCACATTTCTTCGCTGTGCTAGACTATTTCCTTTTAAACACTACGATGCTGAGGTATTTGCAAAACTCCGGACCCCACGTGTCTGCGGTGAGGAACGAACGTGCTATCACCCCTTCCTGGTGCCAAGACGCTCACCACCACACCATGTGGGCCCTTCGTTTCGCTTGTCTCTCAGCAAGTTCTATCGATCTGTGCCATTAGCAATCATCCATCAATGGGATTGATCTGGGGAGCCCATATCGGCATTGAAACCAGTTAAGCTGAAGCTGTATTTGAAATCACAACGTTTGCTTTTTATTTTCTGCCTACTACACTTTTTACGAACAGAGTATTTTGCGAAATACAACCACTACGATGCTGAGATACTTTCTTTTATTTTATACGACCCGTCTTCACACCTACTGTACGGATCCAGCACTTCTCACATTTGATTTGCTTCCTCGCATATATTGTCCATGAAGGTCTACCAAATTTTGGCTTGTGGCTTCGGCAACTGCCTGAGAATTTCCATTTCATCTTGAATGTCGTAGAATGCTGGTCGAGTCGATTCTCCCTAAGGTCCTGAGGTAGCCGGGCTAAACCATTCCCGAATGGGTTGCAGAGAGTGATTTTTTCCTCTCCAACAAGTCCAGTACCAATTTCCCGGCCCCAGAAGTATGAGGTGCTTGGTGGAGCTGGAACGGGATCGAACCAGCTTTGCGTTCATGACGATCGACATCACTAGCATCGTGCTATACCTAACTGCACTAGACTATTAAATTATTTAACCGGAAGGAAAATTAGTGTTGAAAAAGAAGAAAAATTAGCTCTGATTATTCGACGAGGCGCAGCCAACCCATATTTAAAGGTTGATGACTGAGTGAGAAAAAGACTTTCATGCTTTTCGTCTGCATCTGTGGTCATCGAATATCTAAAATTCTCTGATTTTATACTTTAACTGGTCCAACACTTAATTGCCACGTGCTCTAATGACCTTGTCGGGCATCGTTTTCTTCACGAACAAACCATTAATACATTTCCTACGAAACTTTGAGGATTTTTAGAGGAAATTGTCGCGAGTTTACGATTGGATAATTGGCCGTACACATTCGCACGACATTGCAGGACACGGTAGGCAGGAGGCGTGGCATTCGCGCGAGCGTGCGCGCATCTCCACGGAAATTTACGACCGACCTCAACGCTGCGTGAACGCTTCTATAAACAAACGTTGTAAGTGAAACGAGGCCGCTTTGCTGGACGTCCAGAAGAGGCCAGAAGGCGAGAAGTCGTAAAACGGGAAGGCCAGATGCCGTCGCCGACGGTCGCAGACTACGTGGGAGAATGCCAACGAGAAGGAACCGCGGGGCTCTCCACAGGAGGAGCGGAAATTTGTGAGAAGTGACTTTTGCTGACTCTGGCAGGCACAGCGGAGCTGGTGAGAAAAAAAGAACCATTGATGGAAAGAATAGGGCATCAGATGTTGAGGTAATAATCACAGGATTACTTAGTTCGAATTGTTAAACAGCTAAGACTTTCAAATTAGCAGTTGGTGGCATGAATTGATTTGGTATAGGAAGACTACAATATACTTAGGAAAAACTTGCAATATGCCCGCAGTATATGTGCATACTTGTGTAACAAACAGCAACCAAAAATTGCCATACTGAGTCTCCCTGTTTCAGACGTGCTAAGGATCGACGTGACAAGCATAAGAAGTCCTGAAACGATGGTACTAGTAATCAGAGTATGTAATCTTATTGTAAATTCGTATATGGTCGCTCGATTCACAGCCGGCTGCCACGGTGATCTGGTCAGTTGAAAATGCGAAGTGAACGAAGCACAGCTGGAACATATTAGTTGTTTATTAACTTGTTATTGTGATATTACTGCGGTTTTATCGTCATCATTAATTGTTTCTCTCAATGCCTTGTCGCTAAATGGTGGGTGATGGGTATCCCTGGGTTTCAAACTGCAGAGTCAGCAGAGGCAATTCAACATTTCCATCCATAACTCCAACTATGAGCAAATCAATGCTAGGAATTACCGCCGCTCTTGTTGGAAGAAGTCACCAAGTGGTACATGTACCTTCGATTCAGAAAGTTGAGAAGCTACAAGTACATGTAATTGCTAAGAAACGAAAATTGTACTGGAACAAGTATTCTTAGCACAGAAGGGACATCTAAGTTGCAAAGTTGCACAGTTTCCATCATTTTGTCTGTATCCGAATGTTGCCAGTAACGGAACAACCGCAGTTCAGAGGTTCACGTCGATGGTTAAATATTAGAGACGTTGTCGGATGTGCTATGATGTGAAGATAAGATTGACCTGACACATAATGCTTCTGAAAGAAAATATTTTTTACTTTTTATTTTATATGACCCGTCTTCACGCCTACCATGCAGATCCCAGCACTTCTCACATTCGATTCGTTTCCTCGCATCCATTGTCCATGAAGATCTCTTACTTTTACATGTGGCTTTGGTAATGCTTGAGGATTTTCATTTCATCTAGGATGTGGTAGAATGCTGGTCGAGCAATTTCTCTTGGACTCCTGATATAGCCAGGCTGGAGAGTTCCCAATTGAACTGTATAGAGCGATTTTTTCACTTCAAGTCCGGTACCGATTTCTCGACCCTGGAGGGATGAGTAGCTTGGTTGCCCGAGAAGGAATCGAACTTGCACCATGCTCGTGATGACGGACATCACTCCACTGTGCTATCTGCCCCATTGTGAAGGAAAATCACCGAAAAAAGTGACCCTTCAGTAACTGAATAAAATACAGGAAATCACGATCAACAGTTCACCACTATAGACCAGACCACTCTATATTTCAATGGTTATTCTTCAGAGAGGCCTGCAGAAGAATCGACGACGTCAGTCCACTCCAAGAATTCATCTACTTAATGCTGTGCTAAAAGTTCATTACATGAAAAAAAAACTTCATTTATTCTTGAAATTCAAGTATAGTTGTGCTATCGTGTTTCTTAGCACTCACAACAAGAGATCACCAGACTGGATCGGAGATACTTTTATCCAGACGTAACAAATTTCCAAAACGAGTTGAAGGGGGCATGGTAGAGTTGGAGACTGAATTAGTTGAAAATGCTTTGTAAAGTTAGAAGGTAGAAGTTTTTTTACATCAACGATTTAAAGTGACAAACCTGTAAGATCTTTTAGTATTTTGATAAATTCAATTAGCTAAAAAAGACATCGAATTCGTTATCGTGGCTAAGGATAAACCTAGGCTACGGCAGAGCCCGAGCTTTATCGCAGGAACAATAGAAAAGCAACCTCGTACAAAGAGGGATGGGGTCATGCTCTTTGAGACGAATAAGAAATTTCACTAATTTAAACAATGTGGTCGATGATGAGTAATCAAATCAACTAGTCTATAACTCAACTGGAGCTGCCATAACTGAGTGAACATCTCAAGAACGAATAGGATATCACAACCACCACGTGAGGTGAATAAAGGCATATAAGCTTAGTGTTCTGACAACTCTCTTAAAGAAGACCTTAAACTGCTCAATCTTCAGTTAGTCCAGAAAAAATTACGCGCAAATGAGAGCGCTGGCGATTGGCAACTAGTCTTGCCATTGCATTTATGTATAAGGTGAAGGCACCAGCAACCTATCTCCGGACATTACTCTACTGTAGACATGTAGATGTAGATGACTGCTTTGTCATCTGCTTCACATAAAAGGAGATGAACAAATGTTTTGAGTTATAGAAGGAACAACTGGAGTACATAACATTTATCCAAGAGAAACCGGAAGAAAACGGTTTCGATTTCCGAACGTTCAAATTAAGCTATCCGAAAATGGTTACATCACCAATCGCTACCGATAGTCAAATGGCAAAAATATGCTGGTTCATTACTTCTAACCCCACATCCGAACAACCACCAGTGTGTGCACAGGAAGGTAGCAGAAAGGGGAATCCAAGAAACTGGTGCGGCAAATAGCCATTTCCAGTGGTTATAAAGGTAAACCTAAACCCTCAAACGACAAACAGGAGTACAGGATCTGGTAACAGTAATTGAAATACATGAAATAGAATAGAACTTAATAGAAAGTCGGTCTTAGAAGGTTTTATGTCGGTCACTTTTACTGGATGCTATGTTTCGAGCTTAATTGTTACAACGACGGTGGAATGTTTGTCCCTACCGTCCATTTGTACTTATTTTTTCTTACCTATTTTTCATTGTTGACATGATTCACTATTATAGTATAGGTGTACAACTACAGAAACCTAAGTAATCGCTGCAACGACTCTGTGTTTTCCTTGTACCAACGTCATTTTGTATATGGTTATTTTATTCACATCATATATATTTACATATGTGTATACACAGGCATTGTTTAGATATGT